GGACAAACAAAGCATTGCTCTTCTGTGCAGGCAGTTTGTCTAGGAGTAAAGCTCTGAGAGGTGGACAGACAGAGCACTGCTCTTCTGAGCAGGCAGTATGTCTAGGAGTGAAGCTCTGAGAGGCGGACAGAGCACTGCTCTTTGGAGCAGGCAGTGTGTCTCGGAGTGAAGCTCCGACAGGTGGACAAACAAAGCATTGCTCTTCTGTGCAGGCAGTTTGTCTAGGAGTAAAGCTCTGAGAGGTGGACAGACAGAGCACTGCTCTTCTGAGCAGGCAGCGTCTAGAAGATGCTTTGTTTCAAATGTATGGTGTCGCCTTTTCTTTGGAGTTAACAAAGCAGATGGAAAGAGGGATCATGCTGTGTGGCAACATATGGCAACATTGCAATACTGCCCACATTTAATGCTGTGTAAAAGTCAAACTTCATACCTGGCCTTAACTGGTCTTGGAAAAATAACTATGGGCTGAGATACCCATGCCTCACTATAGCACAATAAAACACTCATCTGGAAAGAGGGAAAGGTGCCAACAGACATAACAATAAAAAGAACCTATGGTCATACAGCCCTTACACAACTAGCCAGACAAACGCGCTACAAGTGGTACAGGCCAACACACTGACAATAAAGAATTCTGATGAATGAAATGGAACAAGTCTTGAACATTTTGTTCTGTGCAATTTATTATATCAACAGAGGATCATAAAATATACTGTACATGGTGTCTGTGAGAAATTATGGGATGTTCCAGAAAAGGATCACTTTCATTCTGATGATGTGTTAGTTGTGGTAACTGTAAATTTAATTATGTTTAATTTGCTGTACCAGTCAAACAACCAAACAACATGTGTTTCCCCAAAAAAATGTTAACTTTCACTGCACAAGGAATGAAAATGGTTACAGAACTCTACCTCATTTGGATATCTCTAAACTAGACAATGGTAGGTACAGTATCGCTAAATGATTTCATGGAACCTCATAGAATCAAATGGTTTGGTTATCTAGTCAGACAGAACTAAACAAAAGAAAGGCAATATGACATAAACTCTTTGAGTCCCAGGGGATTTAGCACCAGAGGCCCAAGAGAAACGTAAAATCGGCGAATCTCGTGTTCTCTGCACTTCTAGGTAGGAACCTGTGAATGTATGATGTGTTCCTTGGGACTGAAAGGGTCAAGACAAGCAATGTATCTAGCAACAGACAGGAAACTACATCTTTCACCTCTCTGTGATGCCTATTGCATTAGCAATAGGACAAACAAACAAAAAAGATCTAAACTCAGAGTTGTGGTTGTTAGACACTTGCCTGCTGGAACAAAGGTCTTAGGTTCGAATCAACATCAAGGCACATTTCTTCACAATTAACCATCCAGGTAAAATGGGTACCATGTAGTCTCCTGAGAAATCAAGGCGGCCAGCATAATGGTGACAGCATTACCCACAAACTACCAACTGGCCTATAAAAATCATGAGTAGCATCGTGTGCTTGAAGTACAACTGCCGTCAGATGGGTCCCTGACTTTTTTTTTTTTTTTAACTATCTCTAAACTGAAACAACATAAACATTTGTTTCCTCTTCTACTCCTAATATCCCAATGAACATAGTCCTTCCAACCAAGCTTCCCTATCCTTTGCTCTCATCTGTATATTATCTGCAATTGAGTAATTGACTCCTGAGGGTGTGTCTGTGGCAAATTGGTCAAGCCATACAACTTGCACTCTAAAAGTAATGGGTTCATTTCACAGACACAGCATTCGATTTATAAACGCTATCATTCTCACAGATATCCATAGGGATTGTCACTGAAGCTGTGGAATTTGTGCATTGTGTGATTCTTGGCAAACAGCTAGTATTTCTGTGGAGAGAGAGTCATGTGCGATAACCTGGCACAATGAAGTCGATTCACTCAACCACGATAAAACAAAACTGCTATTGTTAGATGCACACCAAACATAAAAGTTTCAATTTGCAGTTAGCAGAACTGGATGCATCTTCAGAATACCAAAACATTTTTCAACATATTGTACACATACAAAACACCTGTAATTTAGAGACTTCAAATATATTGATTTAAAATCTTGTGGTAATAACTACCTGGAACTGAATGAGCTACCCTCACAGTATTACTACTTCAGTTCATTATAACCTTTGATTAGCTACGGATGCACACGCAACACCCAGGTTCTAGAACAGGACTGCAGTCCAGAAGTGGACGAACAACCAGAACTTGCCACCAGAGTTTACAGCTGGTGAACACCAAGAAGAAGAAGATTAGCTACAGAAACAGTTTCTTTAGGCAGAACAAGCCATTCTGGTATGAAATAGTTATTCCCCCCCCCCCCCCCCCTCAGTTGCTATTTAAACCCCTTTTGTCATAGTATGTTTCTTCAATCAACTTTAAAAGTTACAGAAATCATCATATTTCCTAGTTTAAAATGAACTGAAACAACATGAATGGTACTGAAATGGCTAGGATGTGTCAGGTTTCTATGATCATCCAACAAAAACAGGTCACGTGGCCAGTATTTAGCTGTTCTTTGTCTGTGCAATCATCTAGGAGGTGATATCTCCACAAAGGAGGTTCTCTGTAATGGATAATGGATCTCCAAACGCTTTCCTCCTCCCCAGTTACACACTCTCATACCACTGTCTGCCCATCCCTTCGTGTTATTTTTCATTTTGTATCTTCTTTTATACCTCCTAGATCAGGAAGACCAACCAACACCTGGAGTCACCAATTGGAAGGAGAAGGCCAATCATAAGAGAGATGGATGGAAGTGAGTGATAAATGCAGCAATGAACCTCAAAGGCTAGGAATGCTATTCGGAAAAAAACAAAAGATATATCTCTCATACTTTTATAGAAGCAGAGTTGGCAAATCAGTTTGCATTCACACATCCCAACAGTGGTCAAAGTTTAATCTGCCAGCGGAGGTAGAATAATTTCCCCCTCCCAGTATGGCTTTGTACTCTGGTTGAGACAACCTCACAAAATAGGTAACAGCTCATATTTAGAATTGTCTGTGAATAATCAGTCGGCTCTGTGGCTAAGTCGATATGAATGCTTCGTAATGCCGGGGTCGATCCCAGCTGCGGGCCATGCGCCTTGCGTTGGTTTCGACAGTGGCATCAGGGGGCCGACCGCCCAGCAAGCAATGGCAAACTACTGGACATAAATTAGCCTAGAGAAACCACACAACAGCCAGGGGCTGCTGGCGTTGGTTCTGCAACACCCTGTAAAGGATACGCAACTAATCTGTAAACCTGTGAATTATCACAGTGTGGAAGATAGTTTCAAGTTAGTATTAACTTCTCATTTGTCCTGCTGTCTATAACCTGCTTGCCTGTCTTCAACAGTTCTCTCCAATATAATTTCTATAAGAATGTCTTTTACTATAGCCAAAATATTTCACCAATTACTTATTTATCTTTTTCAACAGCTCTCTTTTAATTTCAGGCCTTCCCAAAACCTTGGTATTTGATTTAAAAAAAAAATTTTTTTAATCCATGAAATACATATTATTTTGTGTATCCATATTTCCAGAGCCTCAATATAACCTTCTTTTTGATTATCCATAGTCCACATTTATGCATCATTAAGTATTTACAACATCTGACAATCCTAATTTTAATGAACGATGAGAACACTATAGACCAGTAGCCCACTGATCACCTGCTAATTGTATTGTATTAACAATCTCTCTATGTTGTGACTGGGCATCTGGCCCATGTTGATCCCCATTTTCCAAATGTTGGCCCCTGAGGAAACTTTGTTGAATAACCCTGCTTCAGTCAGATGAAAAGCGAAATAAAGATGTCATGAAAATAATGATCTCTTGAAAAGAATTTATTACCAGTCAGAATTCTTTAGTCACATTATGACAAGAAAAAGGTTCGAGTACCTCATGACATTGGGAGTACTGGAAAAGAAACCCAGAGGGGGAACCCAGAGAGAAGATAACCAAGACATAAATGGATCACCTGTGTCAGAAATGATGGCAAACACGCAAGAGTAGAGGCTGTAAAAATACACGACCACCAACATCATTTGGCTGGGACATTTAAAAATTGTCCTGTTTACTATTTATCTTCTTAGATCAGAGCTTTCGAAACTTATTATGTTGGTGACACTTTTCAGACAAATAATTTTGCGGCAGAATAATTCAGACAACCAGCAAATCAAGGGTTGAAATAACCCTTTATAAGAGATACGCACACATCTTCAGGCAACACAAATTCACACTGCAGCTGATACACTCATGAATCACACAACATTTTTGACAGATCTGTGCTAGGTGTTAACCCACCACAGGAAACAAAATTAAAAAAGGCTCATATAATTTCCATTTATTGGATGTTCCCGTTTAAAAGTAATCCCTAGACAAATTATGTTACCACACGTTACACACACACACACACACAAAATAAGTTGTACAAAATGAATTTATTATCCAAAACATGAACAAAAATTATACACAGTAAGTGAAATAATCAATAAAAATGAATCCAGCATAGAATCAACTGGCTTACATCTCTTAGAGCCTGTAAACTAATTATAGCGGGACATTTACTTAACCCTGTCCTGGGTCAACACTGATAACCAACAGGAAAAATATGACATGGAAATTTCAATAAATAAAGGAAACCCCACTAAATCCCCCCCCCTCCCCCCTTTCCACCCTTTTTCTAAAGCAAATTTACTCATCCCCTGTCACACTGAATTTTGCGCAGGCGCAATGAATTCTGTTTGCTAGACATCTCGTAAACATGTCTCCATAGTGGATTGGAAAAGCAGCTCTTGCAGGGTAATTATACCAACTGGAAGCGTCAGTTTTGTAGCTTCTCATGGCCAAAGAGTAGATTAATATTATTCTCATGTTAACAATATCCTTGGCCATTCCAGATCTCTTTTCCATATGATCTGTTATAATGAAGCACTGCAGTCTCAATCAAGAACAAGCCGAGCTCTGGCACATCTGGTCCATGTACAAATCTTCCGCTCTAGTTATCATCCAGGTCTATCGCTTCCTCTGGCTTGTTGCTGATTGGGTTGTTTGAGGTCTGGCTTGGCCAGTTCATCCGTGTTGCTTGATTCATGCCCATTTGACCGCTGGTTCCTCCCTGCGAAAATGTTAATAACAAAATAGAATTACAATGCAACTCATACACAGCCCTGAAAGATTCATTCACACAAATGTTAGAGCCCTGAAATCATCATTCACACATATGCTACACTCCTTAAATCCTCATTTACGCATGTGCCACACCCCTCAAATCATCCTTTACACAAAAGTTACCTCCCTGAAAACATTTACACATGTGCCACAACCCTGAAATCATAATTCACATGTGTGCTACACTCCTGATTTCATTTACACATGTGCCACAACCCTGAAATCATAATTCACATATGTGCTGCACTCCTAAAATCATTTACACATGTGCCACACCATTTAAATCATAATTCACATATGTGTTAAATTCCTGAAATCATTATTTACACATGTCCCTGAAATCACCATTCATACACCTGCCAGACTCATTCAAAGAAGTGTTAGAGCCTGGAAATCATCATTCACACAGATGCTACATCACTGAAATCATTCAAAGAAGTGTTAAGCCTTGAAATCATTATTTACACAGCTACTCTATCCCAGCAATCATTCACACAAATGTTACAGCCTTGACATTTTATACACAGAAGCTACACCCCTGAAATCACCACTCACAAATGTATTACACTGCTGAAACATCATTCACACAATCGATGTAGCCCACAGCTCCGAAATCATCATTTTCAAACACACACTTGAATAATAAATGCCCAAAGAAACTGTATGCGCAAACAGGCACAGGGCCTTTACATCACTCAGAAAAATGATGAAGAAGGAGAAACGAATGACACAACTGTGAAATGTTCATTCTCAAACTCACACAGGTGTAATGTTACAGTAAAGAAAATATCATATCTTCTCCGAAAAATTATTGGGATAATCGTAACTAAAATAAGTCTTTTAATAACACAGAAGCATCTGTGGCTTAAGCGCTGCAAATGTGCTTCGTAATGCAGGGATGCCGGGTTCAACTGCAGCTGTGGACCTTGTGCAAGTTTTGACAGTGGTATTGAGAAGCCAACCATCCAGAAAGCAATGGCAAACTACTGGATGTAAATTTGCTTAGAAAAAAACACAACAGCTAAAACATGTTGGGGTTGGTTCTGCAATGTCCTGTAAAGGATATGCAACTAACTAACTCATAACACAGAAAACAGAGGGAAAAAGGAACACAAGCCAAATCATCCTTTCTTTTTTCTTTTTCTTTAAACTGTGTGTAGTTCACCCCATCTTTTTCACTGCACTCTCTGCTTCCCATCTCCATGTATTATTTTTCTGCCTTTATTTCTTTGACTCTGGGACAGTGCAGGCACAGTCTTAATAATATAATCAACCGGTTTTTATCAATGTGCATCTTTTCCAACTTTGTATTTGTGTGTGTGTGTGTGTGTGTGTGTGTGTGTGTGTGTTTGACTGTGTGTGTGTCTATGTGGCTGTATTTATGTGTCTGCATGTTTGTCTGCGTGTGTATGTGTGTGTCCGTGTGTGAGCACGAATGTATATATGTCTGCTGTGTGTTTCTCTGTGTGTCTTATATGTAAGTGTCTGTGTGTGTGTCTGTATTTTTGTCTACGTGAGTGTGTGTGTGGGTGTATGTGTCTGTGTGTTTGTCTGTGGGAGTGTCCATGTGTGTGTTTCCATGCATGACTATGTATGCCTGTATGTATGTGTGTATATATGCATGTATGTGTGCATGTATGTGTGTATATATGCATGTATGTATGTCAGTATGTATGTCAGTATGTATGTATGTCAGTATGTATGTATGTATGTATGTCAGTATGTATGTATGTATGTATGTATGTATGTATGTATGTATGTATGTATGTATGTCAGTATGTATGTATGTATGTATGTATGTATGTATGTATGTATGTATGTATGTAAGTATGTATGTATGTATGTAATGTAATGTATGCATGCATGTATGTATGTGTGAGTGAGTGGGTGAGCGTGTGTATGTGGGTGTATGTGTGTGGGTGTGTGTATGCTCGCGCGGGTTTTTGCTTTTGTGTACTTTTATAATATTCATAATATGCATATCATCATATGATCATAACATGCTTTATTAGTAAAATACAACTGCTGTGCGAAAGATGGTTGACTGGAAGGGCCGAATGTAAGACGGGCCTGCGTGCCCAATTTGTGACCCTTTGAAAATAAAGTTTGTTCGTTTGTTCAGTTTCTTTCACCCACCTCTTGATCCAGAGCATTTTTTTTTAAACCACTGTTTGGGGGTCAGGTCTGATCACAGAGCCATGTCAACCACACTTGACAACCACTCTATCGGGTCGGGTCCAGTACACCGTTGGAAACAAGAGCCTGTTCACATACAATCTTACACTTCATTCACCCTTGAAAACAGGAGCCTGCACACACAGTCTTACACTCCAAAATCCCCTTGGAAACAGGTCCTGTTCAGTCTTACACTCCACCCCCCCCCCCCCAAACAAGTTCTATTCACACACAGTCATACAAATCCCCCCCCCCCCCCCACCGCATGTTTTAAAAGGTAGCTAAATTAAGAGTTTGCTGGAGTTGTGTTGTGTTGGGGCCAAAAGGTGCATAGAAAAATGTCCTGTTCACACATACGTCTTACACTCTATACCCCGGTTGGAAAAACTTTATGTTCACACGTCTTACACTCCGCACCCCCTTGGAAACTTGTCCTGTTCACACGTCTTAAACTCCACACCCCCTAGGAAAAATGTCCTGTTCACACATACGTCTTACAATTCATACCCCATTGGAAACTTGTCCTGTTCACACATACGTCTTACAATCCATACCCCCTTGGAAACTTGTCCTGTTCACACATATGTCTTACACTTCATACCCCCTTGGAAACATGTCCTGTTCACACATATGTCTTACAATCCATACCCCCTTGGAAACTTGTCCTGTTCACACATGTCTTACAATCCATACCCCCTTGGAAACTTGTCCTGTTCACATATGTCTTACAATCCATACCCCCTTGAAAACATGTCCTGCTCACACATACGTCTTACACTCCACACGGCCTTGGGAACATGTCTTGTTCACACATACATCTTACACTCCTTTCCCCCTTGGAAACATGTCCTGCTCACACACACGTCTTACACTCCATACTCCCTTGGAAACATGTCCTGCTCACACATATAGTCTTATACTTCACACCCCCTTGGAAACATGTCACATACAATCTTACACTCCATACCCCCTTGGAAACATGTCACGTACAATCTTACACTCCATACCCCCTTGGAAACATGTCCTGTTCACATATATGTCTTACACTTCATATCCCTTGGAAACATGTCCTGTTCACACATACATCTTACACTCCACACGGCCTTGGAAACATGTCCTGTTCACACATACACCTTACACTCCATACCCCCTTGGAAACATGTCTGCTCACACATATAGTCTTATACTTCACACCCCCTTGGAAACATGTCACATACAATCTTACACTCCATACCCCCTTGTAAACATGTCACATACAATCTTACACTCCATACCAACTAGGAAACATGTCACATACAATCTCACACTCCATACCCCCTTGGAAACATGTCACATACAATCTTACACCCCATACCCCCTTGGAAACAAGGCTTTCATCATATGCAGTCCTACACTTGCCATTCCTTACCATAGCCATAGCATTCTGTTGCATGGCTCTCATCTGCTGCAACCAGGGCATGTTCTGCAACATCTGAGCATGGGACATACCACCAAGCTGGTTCTGCTGCTTCATCATGTTTAAATAGTTCAACTCCTGCAGCCTCATCAGTTCCAGCTGTCGAAGATGCAGACATTTGTCAGCATTTACATCAACAATTTAAAAAAAAAAAAAAAAAAAACATTTACTCAAATTTCTTGGACACCGTTCCCCCGCCCCCTTTTTTTTTTATAAATGTAAACTTTCATTAGAATTTCATGAAAAAAATGCATTTGCATTTTGTGAAAACAGAAAATAATTAGCAAATAATGTCATATGAAAGTGAAGTGTAGCCCTAGAAACACGATTGCACACAAAATAAAAGCACAAACGAGGCCCCAAAAAAAGAGGAAGCCACCCCAACAAACATATATATTAAAAGACAATATATATTATTTTTAAATTAAAAAACAGCAAACGTTTGTTCACATCTTTAAAAAAACAAAACCCTATCTAAGTTCCAGGGCTACAGTCTGGAAGAAAACAAAATAGATCCTCCCACCCCCCACCGCAAGCATGTTGTAAAAGGTAGCTAAATTAAGAGTTTACTAAACTTGGATGTATTTGGGCCAAAAGGTGCAGATATCACAACCTAGCTGTAAACCACAACAAAAACCATGTCAGCTGAAGTTGGATGGGTTGTGGCCAAGAGTCGCAGATATCACAACCTAGCTGTAAATCACAACTAAAACCCTGCCAACAACAGTTCTGAGGGTGAGCACAGAAGCAGCAGAAAAGATCAATAACTCACCCGTTTCAACTCCTCTTGCTTGATCTGTACCTGCCTGCGCAGGGCTTGTTGAAGATGTAGCTGGAAGAGGTTCTCAGAGACATCCGGCAGCTGTAATATACAATTATACACGTTGGTCAATTACGTACAACTGGTTTGGAAATTTATATTCAAATGTGACAGTGATTTCTGAAACAAATATACAGAGAGGAATGAATCTGATCGCCCGTGGAAGCCTTTTCTGAACGCTGACCAATCTTGCTCGCCAACGCCATAAGCTGCGACTCCCATGGCTCCCTATAGCCCAGTGTAAGATTATGGAAAGGCAGAAAGCTACCAACCAAGTTTATATATGGAGACACACCACTTCACATGACCTTTGTGAGTTCTGGGGCCCCACTGTTGGGGGGAAGGGTGGAGAAATAGACCTCCACTGCCCCTAACATGTTATGGCTCCTTTTGGGTGAGATTGATGCAGTGGGGAGTGACGAGAGGTTCTGGCAGATGCTTAAGGCTCAGAGAAAAGGCAAGACGGACGTTTAATCAGAAGGCTACTGGCACCATTAGTATCGGAACTCTTCGCTGGCTGCTGAAGATGGGGACAGAGCGCTTATGGGAATGCCCCAAGTGCTGTGATGTCGGTTCTTCAATCAAATCAATCAAATTAATCATGTTGGTTGTATTTCCTTTCCATTTTCTGGTACCCATTATGTTGGGGTGACCTTGAAGTCAGATATTGTGTGTGTGCTTATCATCAGGTAATGATTGACTAAACGCAAACAATAACTATGAAGCTCAACCTCAAGGCTTCCCCGTTTTGTTTATTTCTGTGTATTGTTGTTTATTTCTGTGTATTGTTGTTTATTTCTGTGTATTGTTTTTTCTGTGTACTGTTTATTTCTGTGTATTGTTTATTTCTGTGTATTGTTTTTTCTGTGTACTGTTTATTTCTGTGTATTGTTGTTTATTTCTCTGTATTGTTTTTTTCTGTGTACTGTTTATTTCTGTGTATTGTTTATTTCTGTGTATTGTTTTTTCTGTGTACTGTTTATTTCTGTGTATTGTTGTTTATTTCTCTGTATTGTTTTTTCTGTGTACTGTTTATTTCTGTGTACTGTTTATTTCTGTGTATTGTTGTTTATTTCTGTATACTGTTTATTTCTGTGTACTGTTGTTTTTTCTGTGTACTGTTTATTTCTGTGTACTGTTTATTTCTGTGTACTGTTTATTTCTGTGTAGTTGTTTGTTTCTGTGTACTGTTGTTTATTTCTGTGTACTGTTGTTTATTTCTGTGTAATGTTATTTCTGTGTACTGTTTATTTCTGTGTATTGTTGCTTATTTCTGTGTACTGTTGTTTATTTCTGTGTATTGTTTATTTCTGTGTACTGTTGTTTATTTCTGTGTATTGTTTATTTCTGTGTACTACTGTTTTTTTTTTTCTGTGTACTGTCATTTATTTCTGTGTACTACTGTTTTTTTTCCTTCTGTGTACTGTTTTTTTATTTCTGTGCACTGTGTGCAACACAAAAGACTGAGCTTTCAAATTTCTTCTTTTCTTTCCAGACTAAACATAGCATTAAGGTCCAATAGTTTAATAATTGCTTTGTTTGTTATTCGACCTATGTCTGGTTAATAAGAATTTCTGTAACCTTTAGCGCTAATGGTTTAAGAGGAATTGTGTCCGTATTCCATGGTTATGGGTTGAAGCAGTATAAAAGACATAACTTATGGAGACAGTAAAGACATCTTTTATCAGGGGCATCTATTTATCCTGCGTCATTGCACATCTGTTTCTGTAGCGAGACCCTGTCATCATTTTGAGGTGATAGGCTCAATTCCAAGCATGGTAACTATAGCTTTAGATTTTCATGCTGCCTAGTGCGTCCTTTGATCTTTCTACTTCTTTTTATAAGTATCGATCAATTCAATTCTGTCCCTTTTTATTAAAGTTTGTGTATAGATTTGATTTCAACTCAACTGTAATCACTCCTATTTCCAACCCTTTAATATTTGCAACAAATATTATGATAAAATATTACAGATACTGATGAAAGTTTTGAGACCAAAGGACATGATCAGTATCATCAGCACCTGACAGAAACAACAAGGTAGTTTCTTACCTGCTCTCGGAGAGCATGCACTGTGGCAGCGATCTGCTCCCTGCTCAAGAGCTGTGCTGCTGCCATCATTGGCCAGCTGGAGGTTTTGCCATCCATGCCTGGTCCTACACAAGACAGCAGAACAAAATGAAAAATAAGCAACAATTAATAAACTACAGCACATACTAACCTGATCTGTTTATGATACTTCTCACTAAAGAATGCTACTTTAACTCTGTTGTATCTGGGACAGCCGGTTTTCTGACTTTTGGGGGTTTGTTATAACGTCTTTGAGCAGAGAGGTCAATATGCCTGTATAATAGTTTTAGTGCTGGTTGCCAACTGTGTAGTGTGCAGACTTGTGGGCGTGATTATGTTTACTATACAAACTAATGAAATAGAATAAACTAATGATGTCTTGTTGCTATCTGTGTCAACAAAACCCTGATACTTTTGATCAAAGAGAAGGAACACAATCATTTCTTTTCTTTGCTCTATTTGTATTTAGGGATTCGTCTTCTTGTGTGTTCATCCGAAGATGTAACTGCGTTTGCAATTTGTGCCCATTTACAGCATGGCTGCGATATCTGGGCCTTTAGGCCAACGCATCCGACTTCTGCTGGCATTTGTTGACCTGGTTAGCCTTTCCGGTTAGTTTCATTAAGAGGGTTAATATTTATATCGCCATCGTCATCATCACCTAGCAGGTCCTTTGCAGGACACTGCTTTTGTCACAGTCTGCCTAACAGAAACTCAGTCTCTCCCACCTTGTGCCCTTTCATATTCACTTATATCCTGCGCCCGTCTTTGTGTTGGGCAGCCTCTGCCCCTCCTTCATTTTGTCCAAACCACCGTGACCAAAAAATGTCAGTTTCCAAAGCAAGATTTTTAAAAATACAGAAACTTGTAAATCAAGAAATACTTCCACCCACCTCTGACGATAATGCCTTTCTTCTCATTCTCATATTCCTCCCAGGCTGCTTTCTTCTCCTCTTCTGTCAGAGTCTGCTCTATCTGGTTCTCCAGCAGGGAGTCGTGCTCATGGAAAGAGACCACACACTGTTTGTTGTTTGTCAAGATCTCAGCCAGCAATGGGTCCTGGAAGAGTCAAGGTCACCGGCTGAATAAAGTCATCAACCCTTGTCTACATGTGGGAGAGTCAAAGTCAGCGACTGAATAAAGTCATTGACACATGCTCATAAATTGATTCCAGTACAAAGCTGATGACTACAGTGATTTTAATTTACAGGGAAAAGATGAAGAATACAATGTTATGAACATGTAATAAGATCTAACGAGCTCTATAGAATGATATTATAGGGCTTGGTACACAGGAAGAAGAGGCAAAGAAAGAAGTGGTCACGTGCCAACCCGAAGGCCCTGGGTCCGAATCCACACAGGGCAGCATTAAAAAAAAAAACCTCGGATCCCAAGTTAAACCAGCCTTAAAACGGCACTAGAAGAATAAACCAACGCAGAACTGGTGTCATCAGCCGTTACATGCTGCAGGATTTACTAAGGAGGGGATCAGAGCACTTATGGACTGAGTGGTTCGACATGCAATGAGGATAATCTGTCAACTAACTAACTTACTTAAAAGGCTACTAAGAAATACCTGGGAAATAAAAGTAACTGGTGTGTGGTGTTGACTCATCATCCACCAAGTACTGACTGTGTATAAAAATGAGTCTGGCCTTATCTGCCCCATGCACAACTGGAGTGAAAAGGGGCTGTTTATATCGCTTATGACACAGAAAAAGAAGATTCTGTCCAAAGGGTGATTTGTATCTGTCATCCCCTGCACCCAGAATCTGTCAAAGTATAATTTGTGTCCGTCATCTGTTGCTTCCAGAATCTGTCCAAGGATGATTTGTATCCATCATCTGTTGCTTCCAGAATCTGTCCAAGGATGATTTGTGTCCGTCATCTGTTGCTTCCAAAATCTGTCCAAGGATAATTTGTATCGGTTATCCACTGCACCCAGAATCTGTCCAAGGATAATTTGTGTCCATCATCTGTTGCTTCCAGAATCTGTCGAAGGATGATTTGTATCTGTCATCCACTGCACCCAGAATCAGTCTAAGGATGATTTGTGTCCGTCATCTGATGCTTCCAGAATCTGTCGAAGGATGATTTGTATCTGTCATCCACTGCACCCAGAATCAGTCTAAGGATGATTTGTGTCCGTCATCTGTTGCTTCCAGAATCTGTCCAAGAATGATTTGTATCTGTCATCCACTGCACCCAGAATCTATCTACGGATGATTTGTATCCGCCATCTGTTCCACCCAGAATCTTTCCAAGGATGATTTGTATCCATCATCTGTTTCACCCAGAATCTTTCTAAGGATGATTTGTATCTGTCATCTGTTCCACCCAGAATCTGTCCAAGGATGATTTGTATCCATCATCTGTTTCATCCAGAATCTGTCCAAGGATGATTTGTATCTGTCATCTGTTCCACCCAGAATCTGTCCAAGGATGATTTGTATCCATCATCTGTTTCATCCAGAATCTGTCCAAGGATGATCTGCATCCATCATCTGTTGCACCCAGAATTTGTCCGAGGATGATTTGTATCCATCATCTGTTCCACCCCGAATCTGTCCAAGGAGGATATGTATCCGTCAAAATTCTGCCCAAGGATGATTTATATTTATGATACGTTCCACCCTCACCCTCCATAATTTACAAATTGTTCCTTCTCCAGAATAGAGGTTGGCTGCAAAGTATATACTTTCAACTGTGACAATTTTACTGGCTGAGGTCCCAATAACTTCCATGGTGCAACTCTCATATCACTGAATGAGAGGCAAAAGAATTGTATTTTTCTAAACTTCCCATTGAGAACTGAACCCTGGTAATTGGGTTATGAAACTATTTCCCCAACCACAGAGCCAGCCCCCCCCCCCCTCCTCACCCCCACCCGAAGAATCTTTACACATAACACACCCACTCACACTGGAGTACAGGTTATTTTATAATGGTTTTGCAGTACCCCAGTACAACTGTGCTGTATGGCACACGGGGTTTCTAGTATATGTATCTGTTTGACTCTCATCTTTGAAATGTTCATCCTACAGACTTCAATCTTAGGGGGGGGGGGGGGGGGGGGGGGGGGGGGGGGGGGGGGGGGGGGAGAACTAAAACAAAAAAATTTCTACCTTAGGCAGAGCCAATGTCGGTTTCTCAGTGCCATCATCCCATCTGTCTGGTCGGAAGTTGTAGAGTTCCTTGAGGTCATTGGCTGAAAAGTGTCTCTCGATTTGATGTTCGTCAACGACACGCTGAGACAGTGATAGCTTGGTCACCTGTCGTTCATAGATCTTTTCCTCCATTGTTCCCTACAGGGAAAGCAGCACATAAACATTATATAAATACTGTACACACATTCATTTCTAGGTCCTCTTCTGTTATACCCTACAGTAAATCATGAACATAAAAAAAAACAGTGCCAATTCAATAATGCAAAGCAAGAGTAGCCCCCCCCCCCCCCCCCCCCCCCCCCCCCCCCCCACCATAAAAAGCATATTCATCCCCACCCCATGCTATCAGTGCCAGACACAGAGACTCACAACAAATCAGAAACACAAATTAATTAATAACCATTGAAATCAGATGTCTGAGAAAGGCTGCAGAGCGACACAAAGAAATTAAATCAAGAATAAAGTCATTAGAAAAGAGCTGATACAGAATCAATAATGAATTGCATTCAAAAAGAGCAAATCAAATGGTCTGCCCACTTAGAGAGGATGCTTTGCAATGCGATACCATACAAGGCATACGAAAAATAGGAGAGGGATACACAGCCCAAGGAAGATTGGGAACAGTATCATCATCCTCATCCTGTTATACATTACAGAGCAGTCTAGTCTAATCCTCTATTGTGTTTATGCTATGCAACAAAACATGAATGGAATCCAGCCCAGGAGCTCTAGCCTGTCTCATAGCTTCTATCTCAGGGTTTCTTGTGGATGTTTTTGTTTCCTCAATCCATTTTGAAGGTATTGATGATTTTGTCTGCTTCTTTTCAGGATGTGTCCAATATAGTGCCATCTTTACAGTCATATAACTGTTGATACATGTGGTTGTCCACATTTCTCTTTTTTTCCTTCTTTTCGCACCTTTTTTTAAATCACCCCTTTTAAATTAATATGGGGAAGGGGTGAGGGTGAAGAGGAACAAATTACCCCCCCCCCCTTTCCCAAACAGGCACGCCTTAAAAAGTGACTAATTAGAGGAGAGGAATCAACGGCCAGTTTGAATACAAAAGAGCAAGATCTGAAGAACAGATGTGCAGGCAAAACTCAAGCTCTGGAACAAGACTAAAGTGCAGAAGTGGACGAACAACCAGAACTATCCACCTCCATGTCTTTAGTGGTTAAATACGGACACAGGATACACTAAAGCATACACACATATTCCAACAGGCAAACATCTTTCATATGGACAATGGGGTTTAGCTGCAGTGCATCCATTACCACCATGAGAATATTATGTATCGAGGCCTGAACATCTTCCAAGGTTCCACTCTTGCAACATTGCCTGAAAGCTACAAGAATAGTTTCATTTTCAAACTATCGAGCACTGGTGAGCTGAGGATCATGAAACATATTCACTGACCTTTAGGCCAGGAACATATATCAATAAAGCGTTACCTGGGCCAAAAATCTGTAAATATAACAAGGCTTTGTCTGGCCAAACCGGTAGACTCTAAAGATTGACTGGACATCGTGGGAAGGATTCCAGGAGGCATCAAAGATAATCACACGGTTAGCTGCCACCAGGTTGATACCCAGGCCTCCAGCACGGGTTGAGATGAGAAACAACCGAGCTCTGAAACAGTGAATGGATTGTGGTTTTACGTCTTGGCAGTGTCCGTGGCTTAGGCGTTGCGAGTATGACTCGTAATTCCAACATACCGCGATCAAAATCCACTGCTGGATGTGTGAATTTTTATCGCAGTACAGGGCGTCGCCCCAGTCTAAAATTGGTACCAGGATGTGTGTCTTGGGTAAGTAAAGACGGTCGGCATAATGCTGACCACATTACCCACCTAGTGCCAAATGGTCTGTAAAAATATGGGTGCTCTTCCCATATGCCTGATGCGCCTAAAGGCGTGAAAAGGGATCTTTACTTTTTTTTTACTTACTTTTCACGTCTTACTTCATTGAGATTCCGATACATCAGAAGCAGCAGTGAAGAGAAAATGTGCATGCTACCATAGGACTCAAGTAAGGAGAAGAAATCAGAGAAATCTTTCGATAACCACTGATAACAGAAAGAAGGTGGTACACCTTTATCACAAATGAAACAAAGGATCATAAAACAGGCAATAAATGGAGAAATATTTGATTGAAAAAGTGAGTATGTCCAAAGACATACTGCAAGAAAAATGATGACAGAGATCACAGGTGTCAAATCAGATTCCATTCAAGATACAAAAAGATTGCACAGAATAGCATAAAATGCAAGAATAAACTGTGAAGTCCTACATGAAAAATAAACAGCACAAAAGGAAGATGACAATGGATCGACAGTGTTGATTTTTATGATAATTAGAGGTCTAGTGATGTGAGACTGACATGAAAAAAATACAGGAATGAAGATGAATCGACAGTATTATTTTTGATGAGGCCTAAGGATATAAAACATATGGAAAGAAGAAAAAAATTAGTCCAGAAATGACACTAATGCACTTGAAACATTAATTGCTCTGTCTCAGACAGCAACCAAAGAAGATTTATCCGGCTGATTGATGCTACCGGTGACTTAGCTGTCACAAGAATTAGTTTACTGACATTAGAGTCAGGACACGATCACAGTTTACTGACATTTGACAGTCATGACACTATCACAGTTTACTGGCATTAGACAGTCATGACACGATCACAGTTTACTGACATTTGACAGTCATGACACTATCACAGTTTACTGGCATTAGACAGTCATGACACGATCACAGTTTACTGACATTAGACAGACATGACACTATCACAGTTTACTGACATTAGACAGTCATGACACGTTCACAGTTTACTGACATTAAACAGTCATGACACTATCACAGTTTACTGACATTAGACAGACATGACATTATCACAGTTTACTGACATTAGACAGTCATGACACTATCAGTTTACTGACATTAGACAGTCATGACACTATCAGTTTACATACATTAGACAGTCATGACACTATCAGTTTACATACATTTAACAGTCATGACACGTTCACAGTTTACTGACATTAGACAGTCATGACACGTTGACAGTTTACTGACATTAAACAGTCATGACACATTCACAGTTTACTGACATTAAACAGTCATGACACATTCACAGTTTACTGACATTAGACAGTCATGACACATTCACAGTTTACTGACTTTAAACAGTCATGACACTATCACAGTTTACTGACATTAGACAGACATGACATTATCACAGTTTACTGACATTAGACAGTCATGACACATTCACAGTTTACTGACATTAAACAGTCATGACACATTCACAGTTTACTGACATTAGACAGTCATGTCACATTCAGTTTACTGAAATTAGACAGTCATGAAACGTTCACAGTTTACTGACATTAGACAGTCATGACACATTCACAGTTTACTGACATTAGACAGTCATGACACGTTCAGTTTACTGACATTAGACAGTCATGACACTATCACAGTTTACTGACATTAGACAGTCCTGACACGATCACAGTTTACTGACATTAGACAGTCATGACACAATCACAGTTTACTGACATTAGACAGTCATGACACGATCACAGTTTACTGACATTAGACAGTCATGACACGATCACAGTTTACTGACATTAGACATTCATGACATTATCAGTTTACTGACATTAATTAAACAGTCATGACACTATCACAGTTTACTGACATTAGACAGTCATGACACGTTCAGTTTACTGACATTAGACAGTCATGACACTATCACAGTTTACTGACATTAGACAGTCCTGACACGATCACAGTTTACTGACATTAGACAGTCATGACACGATCACAGTTTAATGACATTAGACAGTCATGACACGATCACAGTTTACTGACATTAGACATTCATGACATTATCAGTTTACTGACAATAAACAGTCATGACACTATCACAGTTTACTGACATTAGACAGTCATGACACGTTCAGTTTACTGACATTAGACAGTCATGACACTATCACAGTTTACTGACATTAGACAGTCCTGACACGATCACAGTTTACTGACATTAGACAGTCATGACACGATCACAGTTTAATGACATTAGACAGTCATGACACGATCACAGTTTACTGACATTAGACATTCATGACATTATCAGTTTACTGACATTAAACAGTCATGACACTATCACAGTTTACTGACATTAGACAGTCATGACACCTTCAGTTTACTCACATTAGACAGTCATGACACTATCACAGTTTACTGACATTAGACAGTCCTGACACGATCACAGTTTACTGACATTAGACAGTCATGACACGATCACAGTTTAATGACATTAGACAGTCATGACACGATCACAGTTTACTGACATTAGACAGTCATGACATTATCAGTTTACTGACATTAAACAGTCATGACACTATCACAGTTAACTGGCCAGTGATGGACAACACTGGTATTTCACTGATCTCTGACAAACGTGACATTGTGATAATTCAATGACCTATGACAAACATCACATTGTCACAGTTTACAAACCTATAGCACACAGAATTACACAATTTACTGACTGCTGACACAGCTTTCTTACAACTGCCTGACCTGAAACAATCATAAGACTGTCACTACCAGCAGTAACAATCATAAAACTGCCACAACTGACTGGCCACTGACACATATCACTGTCCTAACTGGCTGACCACTAACAAACGCAGCACTGACCTGTAGTTGTCTATATCATTGAAAGAAGTGGCCCAGCTCTGTCTATTCTGGGCACTTGTGGTTCCGTCCATTCTGTAGTAATCTAAATTTTTGGTCCAGCTTCGGCCAAAGAGGCCCTGCTTCTCTCTATCTTCCTCTGAAAGGTTCTCACACTCCTGTTGAAACTTGGCATCAATCACCTCCAGGAAGCTCTCGATGATGTTCAGAGATAAAATACTCTGGCTGAAGATAAGCCTGTGAGGGCAGAAAACACAATTTCGATATGCTTAATTGTCGTAGCAGCATGTGGTGGAAGGTGTGTGTTTGAAATGAAAGAGAGGGAGACAGGATATAGAGACAGAAGGAGGGAGGGACAGAGAAGAGAGAATGAGAATGAATAGATGAACAAACTTTATTTCCAAAGGTTTAGAATTGTAAGTAGCGGCTAGTTGAACGGTCAAGAAAACTGGTCTTTCATGCTGAAGATCCAGGTTTGAATCCTAAGAAATGTTGCATATTTTTTGGTCAGGAAGTGTGTAACATCCTAACCTGCACCGCCCATGGTGACAGGACTAGTGATGCGCAGTCTCTCACCTCTCAGACAGATGCCCTCCGACTTACAAACAGGGTCCGTAGCCAATTTCACCAACCTTTTTTCAAGAGTTTTTCAAGGTATTTTTGACTCGTTCAAGTAAGTACCCTGCACATGCAGTATTTTATTTATGCGCACACATGTGAACAGATACCATGCTTTTACATCTTTTCTAGACTTGGCGGCAGAGGGCAGCAAATTGAAAGAATGATCATTAACATTAACAAAACTGAATGCTCGGTAGTTTAAAAGAAAACTTTTTAAAGGTCTTGAAAGGGCAAGCTGCTTTTCAAGGGATTTTCAAGGAATCAAGGATCACTACCAGCCCAGTAGAAAGAAACATCCCCCAATTAGTAGACTTTTATGATGCTTGTTGGGGGCAGCGAGTCTAATCTTAGTTTCCCCAAAATGCAGCCTCACTCAAACAGAAATTATGTAAGCCAACTCAAACATAAATTATGTGTAAAGTGACACATTTTTAGAACACACTGATCAAGGGAGAGTAACTGAATTTGCACACTGTCTCCTGTTATTTACACATCAAAGCAGCTAGGGAAGAGGTAGTCTCTAATCAAGTGAAACAACTTTTAGCAATTATACTGATCTAGAACAGCAGTTCTCAACCTGTGGATCGAAAAACCCTTTCACAGGGGTCACCAAAGACCATCAGAAAACCCATATACACTAAAGGTATGAAGTAGCAATGTAAATAATTGTATGGCTGGGGGGGTTAAACACATCATGGGAAACAGTTTAAAGGGTCGCAGCATTAGAAAGATTGAGAGCCACTGATCTAGAAGGCTAAATTAGACTTTAGCTTATTTTGTATCCCATTTATTAAGACACTCAAAGCAGAAAAAAACAGATGAAATCTGTAATCAAGTGACACAATTGTTTTTTAAATAATTCTATTGGCAAGAAAGCTAGACTGGAATTATGGTCCTTTGATTTCTTCACACATTGGGAGCATCGCAACAGCAGGTACAATTTATAACATTTGTATTTCAATAAAGTCACTGGTCAAAATGGATAAACTGGACTTACACTTTATCTCCAATCTCCTCACACATGCGGAGGATCTCAAAGAGCAGGAACAACTTGTTGCTGAGCTCCAGCTTGTGCTGGTCATCCTCGCTGACATATGCCGCCCACCAATCCCTGGTTATTGTCTTATCTTGTTCCTCTACATCATTGACAACCCCTTCTTTGCGAGACTTTGTCTTCCATTCTGCAATTACTTCGTCGGGATCACTGTCTTCTCCTGCATCTCTCCTACAGATAGCAAACACGTTCAGATTACCTCTTTCAGCAACAAAACAAGAACAGGTTAACTTTTTCAGCAACAAAACAAGTACAGGTTAACTCTTTCAGCAACAAACCAAGAACTGGTTAACTCCGTCAGCAACAAAATAAGAATTGGTTAACTCTCTCAGCAACAAAATGAGTACAGGTTAACTCTTTCAGCAACAAAACAAGAACTAGTTTACTCTTCCAAAAACAAAACAAGTATAGCTTAACTCTTTCGGCAACCAAACAAGCATATGTTAACTCTTCAAGCCTGAAGTAAACTCTTCCAGAAACAAAACAATATGTTAACTCTTTAACAACAAGAAAACATATGTACAGGTCAACTCTTTCGGCAACAAAACATGTACAGGTTAACTTTGTCAGCAACAAAACAAGCACGTGCTAACTCCCTCACTGATCCTGACCTTGCTTTAGCCCGAGTCCTTCTGGTTCCTTTCTGTTTCTTTGCTTTAGAACTCGTGCCCTCCTGGCCACTGTCACTGCCAGCTTTGTCATCCTCACTGGATGAAGAGGAACTAGAGAATGACATCTCGTCTTCTGTATTACCATCATCGTCAATAAAGGAGTCATCATCATCATACTTTGCCTGACAATAAATTAAATCATCTTTAAGTTGCTACCTGATTTATAAACAAGTCAAATTGTAATTCTCTAAATATTATTAACAAATTTAAAATGGCATTTTTCTTGCATAAAATGAATGTGCGTGTGTGTGTGTGTGTGTGTGTGAGTGTGTGTGTGTGCACGTGTGTTATCATGGGTGTGTGCGCATGTGCATGCAAAGATAAAATTAAATGAATGGTTTTACAGAAAAATGGATTACTTTAAATGTCTTCTTCTTTTCACTACTCCTGGAATGTCTCGCAGCGTCAATGTATGTATGTATGTATATGTGTGTGCACGTGCACACACAGAGATGACATTAAATGAAAAGTTTTATAGAAACCAGCAAAAAGAACAAATAAGAAAGATTTCAAAGGAACATCTTAAAGACTCTGGCAACATTAAAAGATATGAGTCGTGTATTACCATGCTGAAAGAAGCAGTAAAAAGTATGCAAGCAAGGGACAGTCAATACAAGCGGGTCGATAACATTTATGTACAAAAGCAGTCATCGCACTGTATTACCAGCATTAAATAGAACATATTTATAACCAAGCTCACTTTGTGGTTCACATGTATTCAGCATAACTTTCCTGTGTGTGTTCTAGAACCCCATGGGGTGGGGGAGGGAGGAGGGGGATGACACTGCCACAGAAGAAATATGTGACTACGGATTTGTGGAAATGAGATGTGTTGGGCCGAAAGGCAAAGACATCACAGCCTACGATAAACCCCAATACAACGTGCCAACCGCCATTTTAAAGGTGAATGCAGAAAAAGAAGATCATAGCTGACACCACTAGTACTGCTGGCTTGCTAAGGATAGGACAGAAAGTGTTTATGGGAATGCCCAAAGTGCTGCAATGTCATTTATTACCTCTCTCTCTGTGTGTATGTGTGAATATGCACGCAGGTATCAGCTTTCTTTTCCACAGTAAACATTTCCTCTATTACTTTCAGCTGCATTCAACCACCATCTCCAAAGATAAGGCAAACAGGCAACTGCAGAGACTACAAACAACTGACCTTTAATTCATCCCTGATCTCTGCAAGCTTCAGAACCCAAGGATGTGTCCAGATCTTCATCAGATTCTGGTAGTCTCCAAACAAGCGAGCTCCTTTGTTGTTGTAAACCCCATCCACTCCCTGGCCAGAGAGTTCTAGATACTTCTCATACAGTTCAATCTGTATGCTGGTTAATCGTACGGAGATGACATATTCTTGTTTCGGAGGTAGGAACTTTGTTAAGGCCGAATAATCCCTCCTCTGCAAAAAAGATTTTTTTTTTATTAAGTAAAAATGTAAATGAACAAGTAAGGAGAAAATTAAATGTTCATCACTGGCAAACACTATCAGAGGAAGAAGACGGAAATGGCTTGGTCATGTTTACAGAATGCCTTACAACGCTTTGGCAAGGTCCGCTCTTGGGTGGACAGCAGATAGAAAAAAAAAGGAAACCTGGAGAGAGACGGCAAAAATGTAAAAGAAGAAGGGTCGACTGACTTAACGGAGATCATTTACGAATGCCTTACTTGTAAACGATGACATGAAAAAGACAAAAGTAAAAAGAATGAAGAATACATCTGTATGAACCAGATAAGTGCACCACATAAAGCCCTGTCACTTTCAGCCTTCTGTAAGCCTTTTAGGACCTAACTAATTCAATAAACACAAGTTAAATTATAAAGCTCAGCAGATTGGGGGAGTGGGGAAGGAGGGGTCCTCAAACACGTACACACTGAACCAACTGTTTCATTGTGTGTGCACCTGTGCTCCCCCCCCCCCCCCCCCCCCCCCACCTTTTATCTCTCTCTCTTTATTTTAAGTTTCCTAGTATTTATTTTGTGAATTCTGGGATTCTTCCCTGGCAGCACCATTACCAGCACCTTTTTTTTTCCTCCAACGCTAACGTAGGACACTTTGTGGGGTGTACCAGCAGTTCTTTCAAGGGGAAAAAAACTGGGTCAATTTGTTAGACCAGTTCCACTGCAGTCAACCCTAAGTTCATGTGTTGATTCTCTCCACTCCCCCCCCCCCCCCCCAAGTTCATGTGTTGATTCTCTCCACCCTCCAACCCTAAGTTCACGTGTTGATTCTTTCCACTCTCACACCCCCCCCCCCCCCCAACCCTAAGTTCATGTGTTGATTCTCTCCACCCTCCAACCCTAAGTTCATGAGTTGATTCTCTCCACCCTCCCACCCTAAATTCATGTGTTGATTCTCTCCACCCTCCCACCCTAAGTTCATGTGTTGATTCTCTCCACCCTCCCACCCTAAGTTCATGTGTTGATTCTCTCCACCCTCCCACCCTAAGTTCATGTGTTGATTCTCTCCACCCTCCCACCCTAAGTTCATGTGTTGATTCTCTCCACCCTCCCACCCTAAGTTCATGTGTTGATTCTGGACACCCTTCCACCTCCCCCAGTTCATGTGTTGATTCTCTCCACCCTCCCACCCCCAACCCATGGAGCTCCAAAACCCAGCTGGGGATTTCAATGGCTACAAGCATCAAAATATGCACATGTCAATCTAGGGTAATCACCTGAACACATCCAGCCAGCATCTCATGCAGCACATGAGCTCTGGCCTTCATCAGCTTAACGTCCCCCTGTGTGCTGTCTGTACACTGTCCGTTCTGGATGGGGCTGATAAAGCGGTTGGTGAACTCCCTTCTTGTACCCAGCAGGTTTGGCTTGACAAAACTCAACATGCAGTGATCTGTCAGGAGATGGATGAACAAGTTGTTATTTAGAGGACAGATCATCTCATTGCAGCATTTTAAATAAGTGTCTGGACTCTACTCTTCTTGAAGACTTTGCCTACTTCTGTCGACTCTTCGCTAGCTACTGAAGAAGGGGACGGAGGAAAGTGGAAATATCTAGAGTGCAGTGATATTCAATTCTTGATTCTTTCATTCTTCTTCTTAGCATTCACCAGCTGTCAACACCGAAAGAAATTCCTGGTTGTTTGTCCACTTTTGGAACATAAGTCTTGTTACTATGCATACTGCTGGTTCCTCGTCTCTAAGGCATTTCAACTTTGAAGGAAACACTCCTAATTAGTTGCCCTGCACTTACGGAGAAAGTAAGTTCATTGTCTTCTTCTTCTTCTTCTTCTTCTTCTTCACTTCCTCTTTTACCGCTGTGGGTGTCGAGGGAGATATAAGGTTCTGTTTCTAGCTCTTCTGGCTGCCTCGACCATAGGCACATCGTGCTGTTGTAGAGTTTCTCTGATGTTATCCTTCCATCTTGTTCTTGGTCTACCCCGTGCTCTACGTCCTTCTTCTCTTTCCATGTATGCTTTGTATGGTATGGTGTCACAAGGCATTCTCTCTAAGTGGGTAAACCATTTCACTTGCTGTCTTTGTATGTAATCCAGAATTGGTTCTGTGCCGACTTGTTCTCTTATGATCTCATTCCTGATCTTATCTCTTATGGTCACTCCAACAGCCCATCTCAGACATCTCATTTCCGTGGTTACTAATTTTCTTTTATGGTTTGTTGTGAGTGACCATGTCTGACACTGGTAGCACAGAGTTGGAATAAATATGCTTTGAATAAGATGTCTCTTTGTGCTGATTAGGATTGTCTTATGCTGTAAGAGGGGGGCTAGCTGTCCCAATACTTGGTTTGCTTTACTGCATCTAATGTCAATTTCTTTATCCAATTTCCCATCTTCGGTAAATGTAGTTCCCAGATATTTAAACTCAGATGCCTGTTTAATGCCTTTGTATTCTATTGCTATGTTTAGATCTGTCTTCTTTTTTCCTATTGACATTACTTCTGTCTTTTCAGTGTTGATTCTCATGTTATTTGTTTTTATTCATTGTCTGGTTAGACAAAACTCAAAAGTATGATTAATGGTTTGAGTATAAAGCACTAACCACCAATGGCAACCCCCAGGGATCTTTAACCTTTGGACCAAACTATAGTCTAAAAAAGGAACTCATGATCTTCACGGCGAGAGGCAAACTGCTTGGCCCCTTTGTGTTGGGACCCTATGAACCCCAGGATGAAAGAAAATGTCCTGTTCTGACTGTTCATCCACTTCTGGACTTGAGTATGGTTCCAAAACTTGACTTTTTCATGCACATCTATTTTACAGATCTGGCTTATTTGTAAGCAGACGGTTAGTGCCTGGCCTCTCAGGCAGATGCACTCTGACTTTGAAGGAAACACTCCTAATTAGTTTACTTTTACATCATGATTGTTTATGGGGGTTTGTGTGTCTACTCATTTTTTTTTTTTCTTCCCAGAATGGGGCCCTAGAAACCCCATACAGGGCAGAGTAGTACCTACATTCAGTGAGGTTGTTCTGCAGTGGGGTACCCGTCAGAACAACTCTTCTTCTGGTTCTCATCCGGTTCATGGCTTTAGATATGGCAGAGGCCTCATTTTTCAGGATGTGTCCCTCATCACAGATCACCAGGTCTGGCCCTGAAAGTCACAGTCACAGGATTAGATGTTAACATAACAATGCTGGAAAACACAACCAACCACTGATAATATAATGTTTAGATATTGAAGTTAGAAAAACAGACACATCACAAAACACAACCAATCACCAATAATCTAATGTTCTACTATCAAGACACAGAGCTCATTAAGTCTAGGGGGGGGGGGGGGGGGGGGGGCGGCACCTAGAGAACATCAACAATATCCAATACAACACAAGCCAGAGAACATCAACAGTATCCAATACAACACAAGCTAGATAATATAAACAATATCCAATACAACACAAGCTAGAGAACATCAACAATATCCTATACAACACAAGCTAGAGAACATCAACAGTATCCAATACAACACAAGCTAGATTTTATAAACAATGAGAACTGTGAAATACAACACAAGCTAGAGGACATCAACAATATCCAATACAACACAAGCTAGAGAACATCAACAATATCCAATACAACACAAGCTAGAGAATATAAACAATATTAAATACAACAAGCTACAGAATATCAACAATATCCAATAAAACACACACTAGAGAACATTAACAACATCAAATACAACCAATTATTTATAATTCAATGTTTAGCTGTCAAAAGTTGAAAAAGAAAAAACATTACAAAGCACAACCAATCACTGATGATGTAATGTTTCTTCTTTCTTCTTCATGCGTTCACCAACTGTAAACTACAGCAGAAAGTTCTGGTTCTCCATCCACTTCTGGACTAGTCTTAGTCTTGTTTAAGTTTGCATGTACATCCATTTATCAGCTGTGTCTTATTTGTACTGTTGGTTCCTCGTCTCTCAGGCATGTGAACTCCAACTTTAAAGGAAACCCCTCTAATTAGTCTGCATTTATGACTGCTTGTTGGTTTTTAAATATATTTTTTATTCAGGTAAAAAAAAATGTCTTTTTTTAAAAAATATAGTCATGTCATCTCCTTCTAGAACATAATTATAACTCCAAATCCCTAAATCTGGCGTGAATTAGTCTATGGCGTCTGTACCTCAACTGGCCATTTGGCAACAATTCTCTTATTCTAGCTGACCAATTTAACAAGGGCCTATTTTGGGGATAAGGCTTATATTAAAAGCATCCTGACAATTGTGCAAGGGCTTATTTATTTAGGGGAGATACATTAAAGGCAATACTTCTCACTGCATCCACAAATAAAAAAATAACTTCCACAGGTAGCAAATCTCCAACCAACGCTATTATTGAAGGTTAAAATTGATCTATCAAGTCATAGTTGTGGCATAGTCTTCACATGACTGCAAAACAGCCCTACTGGTGTCATCAGTCATTTTAAACTTGTGAAGCTATTGAGGGGACTGGTGCACTTATAGATCTGTTTGGAGTGCTGTAATTACAATAATTACTCGGTAATTTGATGTTCAGCAGTTCGCCAATGCTTTCTGAACAGTTTGACGCTCAAACCGTTGTCTAAATTAATGCAAAGCCGCCTGTTTTTGAAGAAGAGCCTGTAGCTAAGCCACACCCAGTATTTCAGAATTATAAAACTGTCCATAGCCCCAAAGCCACAGATGACAACGGTAAGACATAAACGCAAACGTAAAATATACAGTAACAAACTGACCTGGATCAACCAGCGTTTCCTGAAAGGCTGCCTTCTGCTTCTTGTTTTTACATCTGTTTCCCGCGGTCAGGTTTCGATACATCTCATAGCCAATAATCATGATACCACCACTATTCTGCCAATCTCTCAAGGCTTTTGCGCGGAGGGCGTTCTGTTTGCAGCCAGCCAGCTCCCACACCTTTTCAAGAATTACCCAACAGTTAGAGCTCAAAGACATTTGACATATCTTAGTCACCATATACCTGCTTGTGTTCTTAATGTCATGTATTATAGATACTCATAAAAATCAAAGAAATTCTAGGTGTTTGGTGATATGTGTCAAAACACATATCTATGATTTGACAATCAAGTGCCTTGCCGAGACTGGCATGGTTGAATATGCATCTTCACATCTAGCAATCTCCAACCCACAGGGATAGACAAATAACAATTTTATTTTTATACAAGCAGTGAAAACTACAACATGGATAACAATGTAAACACTCATTAAAAAACTACAAAAATTAATTAACTGGTGCCTGCACAGAACAAAGGGAATTAACTTGCGTTGAGCTTTGGGAAAGAAGTAAACAAATTTCAGCGAATCAAGTGGTAAAGATAAGATGCTGGCCTTGAATAAGACATATTCTGAGAAAACCTGAGAACAGTGTAACTAGAATGTCTTTGCACTGGAACCCACAGGAACACAGATATAAAAGCACACCAAAAAAAAAAAAAACATGGAGAAGGGAGCAAGAGAGAAAATTTAAAGAGAAAGGGAGGACATAGGGTGAGCCACCCTGCATGCAACAGCAAGCTATAGGATGACTTTGTGTGAGTTGGTTGAGAACCTATATACTCTAGTGGGGGAATAAAGGGCAAAACAATAAGAAAGTGAAAACTATAGAATAATCTTTAACTTAAATTCAGACTCAGGCTTGAGTTAGAAGTCGAACGGAGCACTTTTGGGTTATACCCGTGTGCTAATGATGATCCGCTGAATAAACCATAAATCCCTTAACAATGTGCCTCTTAACTGTATGTAAGATGCAGCCCACTGAGATATAAAGCCGGCTAACACATTAAAATATGACGGTTTATTCTGAACTCACTTCCAACCGGTCCTCTTCATCAAACCACATGCTCCACTCATTCTTCCAGTTGAGCACAGTGTTCAAAGGGCTGACTATAAGGCATGTTCTGTGCTTCAGGATCTTCTGATGGGTCAGGATGGTGTGCACAAAGGCTATCACCTAAATGAACAATAGAAACATGTGTGAGGAGGGTATTAAACATTCACAAGGCTCACAGATGATTTCCAGTGTAGTAATGGTGCTCTATGGTGCCAATATTGAGGTATGGAAGAGGCCTTCTTCTGCATTTTTCCCGTTAAAAAAAGGCATTGGCATGTTATGCTGTGGTTTACAGTTAGGCTATGACATTTATGTCTTTCAATCCAAGACATCCGATTTCACCAAACTTGATAAGTCACCTTTTATTATTATTTTATTAAATGTTAGAAGAATAGTGAGAAATGATGCAGAAACTGCTGAATTGTGGTTGCATAGCAGTGGAACAGGACTGGTACAAATGTAACTGAACATTTCAACAGACAACAAATTTCATATAATCTTTTTCCATCCCTTCCCTGAGCCTCAAAGTATCATTTGTGTTAAGTTACTTTTATTATTATTATTATTTACCCAGCCCGTACTAACCCGAGTAGATCAGTCACAGTTACGATGGTTTGGACATGTATGCAGAATGGGAGAAAATCGGCCACCATGGCAAGCATGGGAGGCTAAGAACCAGGGAACCAGACCTGAGGGGCGACCCAGGGTGCGCTGGGAAGACAACATCCGACAGTCCCTAAGCGACAGAGGACTGGAATGGAACAAAGCCAGAAAGAAAACTGCTGATAGAGACGTCTGGCGATCTCTCTGGCAAACCTCTACACCCCAAGGTAGAAGAGGAGCGACTAAGTAAGTAAGTAAGTAATTATTATTATTCCCTGTGTGGGTTCGGGGGCCACATTGTGAGGAAAACAGGAACAGACCCACTACCTTCACAACAAGCATGTCATAAGAGTCTACTAACTGGGGGTTATCTGAGAGGCAAGGAACCAACAATCTGCATACAAAGAAGTCAGTTCTGTAAAATGGATATGCACGCAACACTCAGGTTCTAGAACAAGACTAAAGTCCAGAGGTGGACGAACAACCAGAACTTTCTGCTGGAGTTTACAGCCGGTAAGCGTGAAGAAAAAGAAGACTTTCTGATATCAGCTTGATTGCTGTCACCCCCTTTTTCCAATATTTCTAGCAAGAACAGACTGTGCCAGAGATCTCACCGAAAGTGTTTTTCCCAAGCCCATGCAATGGGCCAGAATGCATCCAGCGCCTTCCTCTTTCTTGGCCCTCTTGACACTTTCATATAAGCAATCCCAGAGGAACTGAACACCTGAAGAGTCAATCAATACCATGTCAACATTAAAGCAGCCCATATAAAAAGGTGTCATTTTCATTATCATTATTAACCTGTTGTGTCATTATACCCCACATGGGGCTTAAACAGCACTCAGTTATGACAAAGATATAAAATTGAAAATTAGGCCATCTTCCCATTTTACAAATCATATAACTCTACCCTGACCTAGAATTTATTCTTCTCTTTTCTTTCTTTTTCTCTGAACCCTGTTCTGCCTTTCAGCATCAGGTTTTAATGTGGCATCTGGTGCAAGTCTTGGTGTGCTAGGTAGATGCTGGTATTCATGGTCTCAGGTATTCCAACTACCCAACCCCTCCAAGGGCAACCTCTAGCTCTGAAACTGTTGTGTCTAAGTCTCAGGGCTCTCTGTGGCGCACAGTCTTGACACATGCCCAAACCATTTTATCTGTTCATTTTGATGCAGTTTAGCACTGGTTCGATCCCAACTCGTTTTCTAATAACTGTCATTTCTGATCCCGTCTTTTCTTGTAACATTTAGTATTCATTTCATTTCTATTGCTTCAATTTTTTTCTTGTTGTTAATGTCCACATATGGCAATGGTAACCCAATATTGGTAAATATAATGTACTGGACAGTGATCTGACCTTGTATTGATGAAAGTCTGAAACTCCCACATGTCAGTAATTGCTAAAGGTTTGGCCTCACCTTCACTAATGCCTGACATGGACCAATGTACAGTGCAAAAGAACAGATAGAGAATCCATCATGCACTGAAAGACTAATACAACAGGGAATGTGAAGAGATTCTGGAAGATATTCAACATTGAAGGGGAAACAAAGGCGGACTTTTAATCAGGTTTGCAACTAGTACTATTAGCAGGACAACTCTGAAGAAGGGGACGGAGCATGTGTGGGAATGTCCCGAGTGCAGTCATTTCAATTCTTGATTCATTCATTCATAGGTTCGGAATGCTGAAGAAAAAGAATCGACAGTGGTCTACACATGACCTCACATTCACCTATCGTTGCACTTACTGATTCAGCTAGCACTGTATCTTCAGCTAGCATTCACTCACATGCAGTCTTCAGAATGTTTGCACTCATACACACAGACTAATATCCTCACCTTCCACCTGATGTGGCTTCAGCTTACAGACAAGCTTCTTGCTGACCTCAACAATCGGCTCGTCACCTTCCTCCTTACCAGCTTCCAAAACCAGCTTGGTTGTGATCTGAACGTTCATTGGGTTATTCTCATCTGTAATGGTCTCTATGTTAAACTGAAAACAAGAATTATACAACATATATATATACAAATATTAGAGTGAGTTTATGTAGCCCTAGAGCAGTGTTTCCAAAAGCGGGGACCACGCCCCATAGGGGGGGGGGTGCAATTTAATTATTGGGGAGGGGGCCTGACAGTTCTATCTAGATGTTCTTAAGTTGTTAAAAGTGGTGTTGTCATGTAGTTTAAAACGAGTGACATTGCCGCTGGCATCGGAGACAAGACAACGTGATACCCCTGTAACATAGACTAGCATGTGTGACAGGTGAGCAAGCATGAAAGAAAGGTCAAATAGATGCTCTTTGATCATACAATACTTCTCACTCTGTGTGTGTTTGAAGACTTAACTTCTCTCTGTGTGTGCGCGTGCACAGGTGCTCTTTGATTATACAACACGTCTCACTGTGTGTGTTTCCATTATACTTACTTCTCGCTGTTTGGCAGCAATACGTTTCCTCCTCTTCTCCTCAGCCTTGGCCGCAGCTCGGGTGGCATCTTCTAGCTTCTTGCTGGACATGACCTTCCTGATCTGTTTTCGTGTACCTGCCTTGCTGTCGTCAGGATCATCCTAAAACCACGAAGCAATAGTGATTAAAATAACCATTAGACATCTTTGACTGTAAGCATTATTTTAGCAATCTTAGTGTACATTCTATAACCAGTTACTATAAATATTCCGTCTACGGGGTTTCTTTGACTTGGGACCATGTTATGTTCCGACTAACTCAAACTGGTTTAAGTAAAAATTTATATTTTTCAACACTATTTTCTTTCAAACAGATTATAAAAATTGTAAATAAAACACAAAAACTAAATCTATGTATGCATAATTATTGTAATGTGAAAAATACATAATATATACCCTACTGCGCCAATTCCTGGACATTTTTTATCCTTACAAAGTAGTTACCTTTCTTTATTTACTATTCTTATTTTTATATGTTGTTGAGTTCATTAAGTGCGGATGGTCTAAAGTCGTGGAGAAGGTTTAGTAATAAATTAAAGCACCTTTTCACATACCAGAGACATACTGAATACACAGTTAAGGGATTGCTGCCCAAGGTTTGCTGAAAGTGTTGGGCCAGAAGGTGCAGATATCACAGTTTAGCTGTAAACCACAACATACCGTGAACCATCCCCCCCCCTCCCCCTGTACAGGCAAAAGAACCAGCCAAGACCACTTGTAAATAAATGGTGAGTACATTAACATATGATCACCATGTTAGCTTCCAAGCTACAGCATGCTAAATGTAGAATTCATTATTCCTATATCAAGCACAAAATAAATGTCAGTGACACCCTAATATCATGGAATTTGTTATTCTAACTAACAAACAAACCCCCAACAAAACTATAATTTGTGTCACACTTTATCTATATAGTGGAATCCACTATTCCAACAGCCAGTTCAAAATATATTTGTGTCACAGCTCCCTAATATTGTGGAATCCATTTTTTTTTAAATAAACAAATAATAATTTGTGCCACAGCTCAACAATACTGTGGAATCCATTACAACTAACAAATAAACATAATTTGTGTTGCAGCAATCTTTACAAGTCATTCCTTAAAGGAACAAGAAATAAACATAATTTATGTTGCATTAATATTTCTAAAGCCCCCCCCCCCCCCCCCACCCCCCCCCCCCCCCCCCCCCCCCCCCCCCCCCCCCCCCCCCCCCTGCCCCCCCCCACCCCCCCTCATTATTCCAACCAAACAAATTAATACTAATTATATCACTCCCGTCATTTTCACACGCCTTGCTGACTGGAGTGGGTGATCCTGTGTCTCCATAACCTGCGATCTCCAACAGCATTCATCAGCTGATATGCGGACACCCCTCCATGCCGTGACAAAAAGCTGTCAAATATTTTCTTGCCTTGTCTTCCTCTTTCCACAAATCTTTCTAGTGCTCACAACACGTTAAAGTTTAACTCATAACAACCCCCCCCCCCCTCCTCCTCCCCCCACCAAAAGACGACTGACATTTCTAATGTTTGTGTCTTCGGACCCTCGCCTTTTTAAAGCATCTTGACTAATTGTAGACTTTTGACTGATCTCAAGATGGCAACAAAAAAAGATAGAAATGTAAAATTTGTACCAAATAAAAGATGACGCAACACACTGAACTGCACTGAATAGGTACGAAACTTGGATAGTTTTCCTTTCGTGTGACCAGTTAAAAGTGCACCATGACTTCACGGACACATGGTATTACTTTAACAGAACAACATAATTTATACTTACATCATCACCATTACTATTGCCGCCCTCATCAGAGGAGTTGCTCATCTTTTTGATTCTTCTCCTAGTCTTTCCTTTGCCCTTTTTATTCTTCTTGTCATCTTCTTCGCTGCTCTCATCTTCCTCTTCACTTTTTTTTCCCTTTCCTCTTTTGCCCTTCTTCCCTTTTTTCTTTCCCTTCTTTTTTGACTTTGTCTCATCATCTTCATCCTCGCTGTCATCACTGTCATCAGAAAGATCAGAATCTGAGCTAGAGCCTGAAGATTTTTCAGATTCTTCCGAGTTAGATTCAGCACTGGCATTTTTCTTTTTTCTGAACACACACAAAAGAAGAAAGATTATTATTATTACGGAGCTGTGCAATGGTAAGAAACAATTTACTATACTACGATTAGTGAGAAGCTGCGGTGGCGAACCAGCTAGACGATGTCCTACTGGTTAAAAGGTCTGGTTTCAAATCTGCACTGAGTCTGGATTTTTTCTCAACAATGACCGAAGTCAACCCAGCCTTAAATGGGTACTAGATAAAGTCCTGGGAAATAAAGGCAGCAACTCTTTCTCTATAAGGCAGACAAGATTTAGTATATTCTATCCAGAAAGTTTGTACTTTAATAAAAAAAATTAGTCAAAGAGTTAAACTAATAACACCACATGGAAAGGAGTTAAGTAACTACTGGAGAAGAGTAATAGGTGACTTATTAGGATTATGCTGAAACCAGACGTGCTGGGCTAAAGGGTGCCGATATCACATCTTAGCTGCAAACCCCAACAAACTTACCAACCGCTCTTTTGAGGGGGAAGGCAGCAGCAGTAGGAGAAAGAGGGTGGTTGTGGAGAAGGAGGAAGAAGAAGAAAGCATTAACTCATAAAAGAGTTCTTGTCCCCAGCATCAGAAGACAATATGCATTCTCTGGGCATGTTAAGAGAAAAGAATGGTGAGTACACTGCAACAACAGGAGAGCTGTAAGGGGAAGAATGGCATGGATAGATGTAAGTGTGGCAGCATGGCATGGATAGATGTAAGTGTGGCAGCATGGCACGGACAGATGTAAGTGTGGCATCATGGCATGGACAGATGTAAGTGTGGCATCATGGCGTGGACAGATGTAAGTGTGGCATCATGGCATGGACAGATGTAAGTGTGGCAGCATGGCATAGACAGATGTAAGTGTGGCATCATGGCATAGACGGATGTAAGTGTGGCATCATGGCATAGACAGATGTAAGTGTGGCATCATGGCATAGACGGATGTAAGTGTGGCATCATGGCATAGACAGATGTGAGTGTGGCATCATGGCATAGACGGATGTAAGTGTGGCCCATGGCATAGACAGATGTGAGTGTGGCATCATGGCATAGACAGATGTAAGTGTGGCATCATGGCACAGACAGATGTAAGTGTGGCATCATGGCATAGACAGATGTAAGTGTGGCATCATGGCATAGACAGATGTAAGTGTGGCATCATGGCATTGACGGATGTAAGTGTGGCATCATGGCATGGACAGATGTAAGTGTGGCATCATGGCATGGACAGATGTAAGTGTGGCAACATGGCATAGACAGATGTAAGTGTGGCATCATGGCATAGACGGATGTAAGTGTGGCATCATGGCATAGACGGATGTAAGTGTGGCAGCATGGCATGGACAGATGTAAGTGTGGCAGCATGGCATGGACAGATGTAAGTGTGGCAGCATGGCATGGACAGATGTAAGTGTGGCAGCATGGCATGGACAGATGTAAGTGTGGCATCATGGCATGGACAGATGTAAGTGTGGCATCATGGCGTGGACAGATGTAAATGTGGCATCATGGCATGGACAGATGTAAGTGTGGCATCATGGCGTGGACAGATGTAAGTGTGGCATCATGGCGTGGACAGATGTAAGTGTGGCATCATGGCATGGACAGATGTAAGTGTGGCATCATGGCATAGACGGATGTAAGTGTGGCATCATGGCATAGACGGATGTAAGTGTGGCATCATGTCATAGACAGATGTAAGTGTGGCATCATGGTATGGGCAGATGTGAGTGTGGCAGCATAGCATGGACAGATGTAAGTGTGGCAGCATGGCATAGACGGATGTAAGTGTGGCATCATGGCATGGACAGATGTAAGTGTGGCATCATGGCATAGACGGATGTAAGTGTGGCATCATGTCATAGACAGATGTAAGTGTGGCATAATGGCATAGACGGATGTAAGTGTGGCATCATGGTATGGACAGATGTAAGTGTGGCATCATGGTATAGACAGATGTAAGTGTGGCATCATGGTATGGACAGATGTGAGTGTGGCAGCATGGCATGGAGGAACACTTGTTATCAAAAATAACTGACAGTGCACATGACAGAAGGCTGTGGGCAGACATGATTGACAACCCCACACACGGCATGGACTTTGAGAAGGTTTTAATTTACTCAAGACACACAAATTCTGACTGGATTCCTTCTTCTTCTCCGCGTTCACTAGCTGTAAACTCCAGCCAAACAAAAGTTCTGGTTGTTCATTCATTTCTGGACTTTAGTCTAGTTCTGAACCTGAGTGTTACATGCACATCAGTTTTACAGGTTTGGCTTATTTGCATATAGACTGTTAGTTCATTGCCCCTCAGACAAATGAACTCTGACTTGGAAGGAAGCCCCAAATTAGTTGACTCCTATGACACACTTGTTTGGGAGGCAGTGTGTCTATTCTTGTTTTCCACACATTGGGGTCCCGGAACCCACAAGGGAAATCATTATACATCACATAGGGCTTGCAGTCTATTCCTCCATTCCCTTCTGCCCTGTCCAACAGCTTTAATATCACGGATGGATACCAGTCCAGCATCTTTCTCTTCATATTTCAGTTTCCAAGACAAGTTGCCCTTTACGAGCATACCTTCCTGAAGTTGTGATCTTTTATGATGTCAGTTTATCTCTTTTCTTCTTTGTCCATGGTATCCTGAGAATCTCCCTATAGCACTTCATCTCAAAGGCCCATTTTCTTCCTTAGGGACTGTGAGAGAGTCCAGGACTCACACATGTATGTTGCTACAGGGTAGAAGCATGCTTTCAAAATGTTTACTGATTCCTTGCTGCTGCTTAACCGTATACCTTTAACGCTGTTTAATCTTTGCAGTGCTATAGCCATCCTCCTTTTGACTTCTGTTGAACAGTCTAATCTCCACTGCTGTTCATTATAAAGTCTAGATATATAGCGGGAGCCGCAGTGGTGTAGCTCAGCTGCTGATCTGAAGGTTGTGGGTTCAAACCCGAACAGAGCTGGACTTTTTAAACACAAGATCTTGGCTCCAAAGTCCACCCAGCCTTTTATAGGTACCAGGTCAAGTCCTGGGAAGTGAAGGTGGCCAGCATAATGCTGACCACATAACCCCTTAGTGCCCGCTGGTCTAGCACAACATGCCCAATGCACCTGAATGTGTGAAAAAGTGTCCTTTGCTTTGATTTATCAGATATAATTTTGTTGTGTGACTAATCAGCCACCTTGGAGCTCATAATCATTAATCATTACTACTTTGGATGAAAAGTGGCCTTCATCCCTCGTGATGGACGAACAACAACAACCAGATATACAGCAAATATAACAGATTACATTTTAATTTAATAATTTTTTTTATGGCCAACAAACATAACTATCCAAATGGCCCCTGGCAGGAAAAAAAAAACGATCACTATCACTGCTACATACAGAGTAAATTTCTATGTAAACTGGTGACAGGCACTACAATACATGCTAAACTTACTTCTTTGACACAATATCTGAGTCACTGTCGGACAACTTGGCATCTAGTAACTTGCTATGCACTTTCTTTCGTTTACCAATATTTTCATCACTGTCATTATCTTTTTCAGAACTGGTGCTGTCTCCATCTTTTTCAGAACTGGTTCCACCTTCATTTGTGGGTTTCTCTGCTTCTACAGGCTCCATTTTCTTCTTTCCTTTCTTTGTCTTTTTAGCAGTTTCTTGGCCTGCAATGGGGGAGGGGTAACGGGTAATACACAAGGTAAATATGGTCTAGCCGTTACATGACTTCTTACTTTCTCTAGCATCAAAATGTCTTTAAAGACAGATGGAGAGACAGAGAGATTTTGCTGTTAATAACTTATATCTGACACACAATAAACAAAGTTATATAAGAACCATTCTTGCGTATTGGGCACACAGTGCTCAACCTATATTTTATAGACCAACCAGCACTCAGAGAGAGATGTGATCAACATCCAGGCGGTCAACTTTTCTACCCAGGACTTTACCTGGTACCTAGGTTAACCTAGGAGCGAAGGTCATTTCTGACAAAGAAGAAAATCCGGCTCCGTTTAGATTTGAACCCTAACATTCAGATTTTCAGGTGAGCATCTAGCCGCTACACACAGCACAAATGGTATTTTATACTGCTCACTATAATTCTGTTATGCAAATATTTAATAAGCATATTTATATTCTGCCAATTTATGACAGACAAGACAGTTAAATCCTGCCAAAATGACATAAATCGATGCAACATTTGCACCCTCTATCAATAATTCCAATTCCCCCACAATATTCATAACTACTAAAAAAAAATTTTTTTTTAACAGGTCAATATTGTTACCCTCTATAAGTTATTCTAATGCTCCCCACCACTCTTCATCACTCATCAACAACAAAAATACAACCAAATTATTCCAACCCCCCCCCCCCCCCCCCCCCCCCCCCCCCCCCCCCCCCCCCCCCCCCCCCCCCCCCCCCCCCCCCCCCCCCCCCCCCCCCCCCCCCCCCCCCCCCCCCCCCCCCCCCCCCCCCCCCCCCCCCCCCCCCCCCCCCCCCCCCCCCACAAGCCAGTCCAACATTCTCACCCTCTTTAAATCGACCTGACCCAGAATCTTCACCCCTCTGACCCTCTGTACAAACTATTCCTGCTCACCTGATTCTTCATCGCTCGACGATTCACCCTCAGCTTCCTCATTGTCATCATTCTCAGATTCAATATCATCCAGCAGTCCTTTCTTTGCAATCTCATTTTCATCAAAGTCCTAGATGGAAAGTTGAACAAACAAAGCTGCATACCTTCACAGACTGTAATAAACCAACCCTAGCATTTTTTGGCCATTTATGATTTTACTAAGCAATCTTCTTCTTCTTACCTCTCACTAGCTGTAAACTTCAGCAGACAGTTCTGGTTGTTCGTCCATTTCTGGACTTAGCTCTTGATACAGAACTTGAGTTTTATGTGCACATCCATATAACAGATCTGGCTTATTCGTATGCAGACAACATCAGTCCTTGTCATACAGCAAATATTATAGAGATCCAAGAACATTTCATTGAAAACTAAGCTTCAACTACTGAGGGCACTAGCCATTAGTACATTTAAATATGGCTGTGAAAATGTGGACTTTAACAGCTGACCTCAAAAAAGAAGATATTGGAATGCAATCTTTCAGAAAAATTCTCGGCACATCATACAGGGACCATATCACAAACAATGAGGTTCACCATATAGATACCCAGCACACTTGTAACTATAAACCTCTTTTAATATACAGTGAAAAGCAATGGTACGGTCATATAATAAGATCTAACAGCCTCTCAAAAATAATACTACAAGGCTCAGTACAGGAGAAGAGGAGAAGAGGCAGACCAAGAAAGACCTGGATACAGAACTTGACTGACTGGACAGGCCTTAGGCTTGTAACCATGAAGTCCATCGCATCTGACCATCAAAGGTGGAGGAAGCTGATCAAAGAGTCAACAGCAACTGGTGACCCAACAACATGCAGAATTACAGCATGATGATAAAATACTGCACAAAGCCAGTCTTTTTTAGTGCGGTTCACAATACAAAATGGCCAAGGGCACAAATGAATCAAACACACAAACTGTTACCTGCTGTTCATCAGCGTCTTCTGTATTTCCAAAAAAGGTCACTGGCAACTCGTCTTCGTCTTCATCAACTTCATCATCATCGTGGTCTTTCCCTTCGTGTCCATCTGAAGACAAGTCATCATAGTCTATGGCTTTCTTGAAGCTTTTAGGTCCTGCAAGTGTTCAAAAAGGCACATTTCCTTAACTACAATTGCATTTACAAGCATTCTGTAGATAACTATGTGACAGACCTCACCGTACAGATAAGGCCTTTGTGTATTCTTGTTTTAACTGTATCGCTGTCCGTTTTTGTAGTGTGCGGATGAAGGTGTTCTAGCTGCAGTTTTCATTTTATCACTTTGTAATTGCAATACACATGCTTAGATAAGGATTTCTCCTAATGAACCAACAGCACTCTGAAATAGCTTTAAATGTTGGAATGTCGGCTCGTAATGGTCTAGGCGGAATCCTGCAGCCACAATACACATCCAACCTATTTCAGGGGTGAGGCGAAACAAATTATGGCACTATAGAACATATAATATTCCTAGGCGCAACTAGGCCTGACTTCCTCACTACATCAGTTAAGCCCCCAGACTAGATACTATCCTATTCTAGTCAAGATAACACAGTTTAACAGCATATCAATATTGCACACTCCAGGTAACTAGTAACAATGAAGGATGGACACTAAACCAAGAAGGTAGATATAATGAAACATACTGAAATGAGGGTCATAAATACTGTAGATCAAAAGGGCAGGCAACCTCTGGCTTAACCATACAGCTCCCTGGGGTGGAACTCTCCCACTGGTTCTGTTGGTCACTACCTAGCCGTGGAAACAGACATGTCGGCAAGCCACAAGGTAGTATCATCTGGCAGTTACAGGAATGCTGGTGGTGTAGACATATGGTGATTGTCAACCTGGCCCCCAGTGAACTTATAATCCCAAGCTCAGGATTCCTCCAGGAAACAAAACTGTTTCTTCATTTTAGACAGAATTAAGCACAAAGGCAAAACACTTCTGCTCATACTGGAAGCCAGATCGAGAATGGGGCGGGAGACAGCGTCACTCTCAAAGAAAGTAGGGCAACAGATTCCTACTCCCAGGCTGTGATTTGTCCCATTGGAATGTGAGGATTAACACAATGAATCTCCAACTTCTAACTGTAAGTTTGAAAATGGAGGCACACAAAGAGACTCAGAACATTCAGAAATACATATTATGCCATAAAGAGGTGTAAATATAAAAGAGGGACTACATATCCACACAGGCGAGTTCAAATTTGAATCTGACCTCGTCTCCAAGGGGATAACAAGATCCAGAATAGTACAAGATGAAGTGATGGTTGGGACTGTTACATGACATATACTTATTTTTTCTCCTTCATGACAGTTACTAAATTTATGCTGTCTTGATCTGACAGTTACAAAATCTATGCTGGCTTGATCTGAATTTTACAAAAATCTATGCTGGCTTAATCTGAATTTTACAAAATCTATGCTGGCTTGATCTGACATTTACAAAATCTATGCTGGCTTGATCTGACAGTTACAAAATCTATGCTGGCTTGATTTGACAGTTACAAAATCTATGCTGGCTTGATTTGACAGTTACAAAATCTATGCTGGCTTGATTTGACAGTTACGAAATCTATGCTGGCTTGATTTGACAGTTACACAATCTATGCTGTACTGCTATGACATTTACAAAATCTATGCTGTCTTGATCTGACAATTACACAATCTATGCTGTACTGATATGACATTTACAAAATCTATGCTGTCTTGACCTGACAATTACAAAATCTATGCTGTCTTGATCTCACAGTTACAAAATCTATCATATCTTGATCTGCCAGTTATAAGATCTTTGCTGTCTTGATTTGACAATTAAACAATCTATATGCTGTATCGATGTGACTGTTACAAAATCTTATGTTGCCTTGATCTGAGTATTAAAAGATTTGTCTTAACCTATTTTAGTCTGATATTAACAAGTTGCTACTACTAGAAAAAACAAAACCACACACGCATGCATACATACACTCACTCATTTCATTTAATGCATACCCAACCAAACAATAACAAAAATATACAACAGAAAAACACTTATATCATCATCATTTGCAGTACCAATAAGCATAGGCTGTCTGCCAAACCCGTTAATTAATGTGTAAGGAGAATCCTGCAAATATTTTGGCCAAATAGGATCACAAAAGATTAACCGAGAAAGAAAACAAAATGTTCATCAATGGTAAACACTATAAAAGGAACAAGATGGCTAGGGCATGTTTGCAGAATGCCTCATGACATTGGCGAAGACGGCCTCCGATTGATGGCAGATGGAATAAGGGGACATGGAAGGACCAAGGAAACCTGGAAAAGGACAGTACAAAGAGAAATGAAGGAGTGATACCATTGGCAGAGAAAGCAGCAGACCAGTTACAATAGAGATCATTTGTGAATAAGTTCAATGACTTGAAGAGGATATAGAAAGAAGCAGCAGACGGGCAATAGCTGCGATCATTTGTGAATGCCTTAAGTTCAATTACCTGAAGAGGATACAGAAAGAAGCAGCAGACGGGCAATAGCTGTGATCATTTGTGAATGCTTTAGGTGCTAACAATTACATAAAAAATAGTATAGAGTTAGCAAGGCACTTGATGATCATTCACTAAAAATGAACTTGTGAATAAGTGTATACCTGGCTTCGCTCTTTTCAGAGGTTGCTCCTTCACCTTGTCGCTTGTGTCTTCTTTCTCCTCTGCACTTTCTTCACCTTCATCAGCATTTGCAGCTTTCCTCTTCCTCATTGTTGGTCGCTTTGCCAATTTGGCAATTTCTTTATCAATTTCATCCATTTCAGATGGTTTTTCCTCCTTTTCAGACCTCTGCTTGGTTTTAGCAGCCGGCTGTTTTGGTGAAACGGTCTTGGCATCCTTTCTTGCAGTCTTCTGCTTTTCCTTACCTGTAGCTGAGTAAATAATCATAATAATTTAGCATTTATTCATAAATACACAGAAGCAAATAAAATAAACTAGGCTCATCATCTAACCTACTTTTCTTTGAGTGTTCACTTGCTGCCAACTGTGAAGGAAACTTCTGGTTGTTTGTCCACTTCTAAACTTTCCTCCAGAACTTGAATTCTGTGTGCATTTCCATTTTTCTGGTTGTCTTATTTGGAGCATTTATTGACTGTTTGTAGTTTTACTAGGCAATTTTACATTCAGTAGTTTAGCAATGCTGTTTAGATGGTTTCTTCTTCTGCATCACATGAAGATGTAAACGCGTTGTGCCCGTTTACAGCACGGCTGTCATATTTGCGCCTTTCTGTCGACACATCCAACGTCTGCAGGAATCTGTTGACCAGGTTAGCCGTCCCACTGAGAAGGTTTGATGCTCATACCACTGCAACAATCAATGTCATGTGGTCTGCTGCCATTCAACACTCCTCGTGTGGGATCCGGGGCCCCATTGTGGGACAAGCATGTCATAGGAGTCAACTAATTTGGAGCTTCCTTTCAAGTCAGAGTTCATCTGCCCAAGAGGCAATGAACGACCAACTGCACACAAATAAGCCAGTAAAACGGATGTACACACAAAACCCAGGTTCTGAAACAAGACTTAAGTCCAGAAGTGGATGAACAACCAGAACTTTCCGATTGTGCAATCTACGGTCTGCGTCTTCTCTGTTCTAATCCACAACGGTGAAACATTGCTTTGATAATGTTACTATTTCAACAGTTAACAGAGAGAAAGAGCTATGTAACATTTAACACACATAGAGGCTGTGTATAACAGCAACTAATCTTAATATTTTAACAATAACACACATACCATACGTAACATACAACACACAAAGAATATGTATAACAGCAACTAATCTCAATATTTCAACCAGTTAACAGAGAGAGCATATGTAACATATAACACACATAGAGGCTGTGTATAACAGCAACTAATCTCAATATTTCAACCAGTTAACAGAGAGAGCATATGTAACATATAACACACATAGAGGCTGTGTATAACAGCAACTAATCTCAATATTTCAACCAGTTAACAGAGAGAGCATATGTAACATATAACAAAGATGTCCTGTATAACAGTAACCACAGCCAGCTCCAGATAGAAGGCCATACAGCTTAAACAGGAATTCCCGTTTTTGTGAGGCTGGCATGGCTAGTCGGTGGTAACACTTGTTATCAAGTAGATTTATACACAAATTGAACTACAGTTTAATTAATTTACAACATGTGTTACTGAATGAATTACTATTTTGAAGATAAATAAATGGGCTATTGGAAAATATTTATCTTCAAAATGATAATTCATTCAATAACTGCTCTGTGTGAATGTTAACCCTTGCGCCCCAGCAACACTAAAAATTGGGTCATGACCCCAAGGCAAATCTAGAATAACAAATCCTTCAAACACAAAAACGTTGCCCAGGATGCAATACTCTTTAAAAAAATTATGTACATTGTTGGGGGGGAAGGGGGGGGGGGGGGAGAAAGGGGAATGTTAAGATATATAGAGAGTAATCAATAAACATGAAGACAGTACCCCAATCACTGATGTTTGTGTAAAATTTGACATTGACTTATCCTTTTTTTTTTTAACTTTTGGTTTGAAGGACGACCCCTTTGCCACTTTACCAACACTTTTTCTTTGTTAAATTCACATCCAGGTCACTTTAGACAAGTCGGAAAGGTGACATTTAGTGGGAATTAGCCCCAACCGTTATGTGTCGGATTTGCAGCTACTCAGGGCAACTTGGTAAACAAATTCCTAATCCACATCAATTAATAGTTTGATTTTTGCAGTGAGGATGTTTTTTTTTTTAAACTGCCCTCATGGTTTTCAGACAGTGGCACAAAAGACGCACTGTGGGAAGAGATCACAGCCTCACTACGCAACAATCCCAAAGACCGCAGTGGGTACACTGGCCAACTTTCAATGTGGGGATGGCCAAAGAATTTTTTTTAAGCACTGTGTTTGATTGGTCATGAATGATTTCAACTAAAATAGCTATCACTTACCTTTCCTTGTTTTTCTTCTGGTACTAAGAGCTGTATCATCATCCCCACTTGAGAGAGGATCCGAACTAGAGTCACTGACTTTAGAGTCCTGATTCGGCTTTTTCTCCTGTTTAGCTTTTTTATTATTAGTTTCACTGGCGGGCTTTTTACGTTCTGAGCTGTTTGCTTTTTTAGATTTCTTTTCTGTCTTAATGGCGTCTTCTTCTGAGGACGAATCTGGCGCTTTCTTTCTTTTACCGGTTTTGGTTTCACTGTCTGGTTTAGATTTGGGGTCTTCTCCAAACATAATGGGCAGATCATCATCATCTTCATCGTTGCCTTCATTATCACCGTTGCCTTCATTATCTTCATTTTCCTGATCAAGTTCTTTGTTGTCTCTGGTTATTTCGTCTGCAATTTCTTTAATCAAGTCAAATTTAGCAGCCAGGTTTTCATCATCAGGTGTGCTGGAGACTACCTTCTCTTTCGCAGGGGAGTCGACTGAAGCATCACTGTCTATCTCAGCCTCATCTTCACCTCCCTTTTCTGAAACTGTCTCTTTTTCTAATGTTTTTTCAACGACTTTTTCAGACGTTTCCTTTTCAGAATGATTTTGACTAGCTTCATTTTTATCTGAAACATTGTTCTTAGAATGTGACTTATCACTGTTTTTAACTGTATCCCTTTTACCTGCGGACTCTCCATCATCACATTTTGTTCTGTCTTTGGAACTTCGAGAAGAATTCTTTGAAGATGTTTTATGATCATTGGTTTCTTTTGAAGAATCTGAACCAGAATTCACAGAACCCTTCTTCTTTGTCACATCCCCGTTCATGTTTACTACAATAGAATTTGCTGTGTCTTTATTCCTAGACCTGCGCATATCCCCATCTATTACTTGTGTTATATCTAATATATTGTCTGACCCCCCGTTGGACTCAGTACTTATCTGCTGAACCAAAACTGATTTCTTGGAGTCAGAACTTCTGTTTGTAGCATTCGTTTCCTTTGGCAGACTACCTGAAGTGGTAGAGGGCTTTGAATGTAAATGTGACTTTGGTGCCAAAGAGGAAGTAGATTTAGCAGGCGGCACATTCTGTACTTGGTCCTCTTCACCATCTTCAACTACAAGATCAGATTCTGTAAGGATTCTTTTCAATGACTTCAAGAAAGTTTCTAAACTCTTATTCAGAGCACGGGCCTGCTGTTTTTTCTTCTGCTCAGTATACTCTGACCCAGCCGCTGAGGACAGAGTCTGTGACCGCAAAGCTTGCAGCACATCCCTTAATGTGTTTGTTGCTGTTGTCAGCTTATCTATAGTGGCATCCACATGCTCATGCCCCACATTCAAATCTTCTGAACTTAACAGTGTCATGGATGCTGAAGCTTCAGAGAAGACACTGTTGGCTCCTGCACCTCTACCCTTGGCGTTAGAAGCAATCAAGGCATTTTTGGAATTTTGTTTAGAGTCCACATTTTTCTTTGAATATGGCGAGGTGGTACTGGCTGGAGAAGCAGCTGCTGATGCTATTTTAGCTTTCTGTTTTTCCTGAAGTGCCTTCAGTGTGTCCCGAATCTTTCTGTAATTCTCCTGCAAGCTCTTGAGTGGCTTCGGGTTACACAAATAGCAGAGCCAATTATCTTGGCTATCTGTGGAAGAAACATATTTTTGACACAAATAAGATGTTTTATCAGATACATCTGACATGCTTCAAATGTTTTTATCAGACATACCTGTCATGAATACGTCTGCCAACAATTTCTTTTAGCAGTCTACAAATCAGGTTAACAACAAACGTAAAATTTAAGTTGCAAAAAAAAAAACATCAAGGTAAATACAAACTGAACTCAAGTAAGAAATTTTAAAGTCACATAAAAAAAAAAAAAAACATCAAGGTAACAACTTAAATTCAAGATTGAAAAAATAAACACAAAAAATACACCACAATCAAGGTGAAGCAATCTAAAATCCAAGCAAAAACAACAACAAAATCAAGGGGTAACCAACACAGACTATCTCACAACAAGCATGACTGGTTGGTCCCTGATTGACTGGATTCTAAAGTTGTCCATAGAATAAGCTAGCCTAATTTCTTCTTCCTCATTCATCTGAAGATGTAATTGCGGTGTGTTCGTTTACAGCATGGCTGCGATATTTGCAACTTTTGATCGACACATCCGACTTCTGCAGGCATTTGACCGCATAAGACTTCTGGGAGCAAGCCCATTTTATATCAACCTTCCTAGGGTACCTGTTATGACATGCATGGTAGGCAACAATGTTACTATTCTTTAAATCTCTTATGGCTGCAGTCTTCACACTTTTTTTGTTTGTTGATAAAACTTTAATACGTTAGTGAATATTTACTAACAATAGCACAAGGTCAACTTACTGATGTTATTAAATTCTGATCTGCTGAAATTTCGCATGACGCAAGACTTGCAGAATGCACTACTACAGTCGTCGCAGACAAGAAGTCGGCCACCCTCGCCACACCAACGACACTGTTCATCTGCACCATCCTGGTCCTTAGAAATCTCACCGCTAGACAGAAATTTGCAGCAGTGCTGAAAATGAACACATAAAACACTTGTTGAAATCATTGGTAACAATTGTTTAGCTCTGTCAGCGTATAAAATGTGTTACTTTCTCCCATTTTAAACTAGTTATCTGTATAGAATCCTTTGTCTTACACAACTGTTATTGAACCTTTATCTTTCTTAATTTTTACTGAACCTTCTGTTGTCTTAGACTGCTGTTGATAAACATGTTTTCCTGTGTGGCATCAGGGGTCCCATTGTGGGGAAATTAGGAACAGACCCACTGCTTCCTGAGTTATAATAGTCGTCGGGGGTTGGGAGGGGGGGGGGGGGGGGGAGGAGGCAGACACACATGCAAAGCTCAGATCCTGAAACAAAGCTAAAGCCCAGAAAAGGACAAACAACCAGGTCTTTCCGCCGGGGTTTACAGGCAATGAACGCAAAAACCAACAAACCTTCTGGTGTCTTAAACTGTTGTTCCTGAACCTTCTGTGGTCTTAAACTGTTGTTCCTGAACCTTCTGTGGTCTTGAACTGCTGCTTCTGAGTTCGCGACACGTAGTCTACCAACCAACAGCTTTTGAACTGAACTGCATCCGGGTGTTTTTATTACTCCAAGATGACTGCACCCACGGTCGATACCGATTTGAGCAGATACAATCGTTGTTTTCAGTGAAATTTTGATATTTTCGTTACCGATGGATGTTCAGCCTTTTTTATCATGTCTGATGACGAAAACCAGACCTGTAGTATTGATTATTCGGAATCTGACAGCGAATCTAATGCTAAAAACGATAATTCCTGGATAACTAGAGATTCACCTGTGAATGTAATCATCATACCACAACTGAAAGTAGTGACAACGATGATAGATATGATGACGGAGTTGACGTAGGTGCATCTGAAGGAAGAAGTGGGCATGGCACAAGAGACGAGAACATTTCTACAGCTGAAAATGCTGTTCGTAAATGCAGAAAGGCTGCTCAAAATGATCTGGTTAAGCCTGACAATCTTCCTCCATACAAAGAACAACAAGGTGCCATGCCAGACACAGTTGGATGTGTGCCGATTTATTTTCTGAAGAAAAATCAGCTGAAACTGAAAAAGGCAGATCCTCCTGTTTTGTGTGACAAAATATAAAGGTATGCTGGCAGCTACATGTCATGACACTAAGAGAGTTCACCTGATGTCTACTGTTTACTTCAGTAGTGCTATAGACAAGACAGGAAAAGTGGAATTCCTGAGGGCAAAATAATAAATAAGCCAGTTCTTGCAGAAAAATACAACAACAGTATGGAGGGTGTCGATCACTTCAGCTGGGTGCAAACTACCCCTACCCACCTAGATCCTATAACTGGGACCTGCCATTATATTATTTATTTATTTTTAGTTGACACTGCTCTGGCCAATGAGTATATAAGCTACAACACTGCCAACTCTGTGTGTATAAGGTCACAGTAAAGGGGTTCAAGCAGGATGTCAATCTTGCTGTTATTAGACCTGCTGTGTTATTAGACCTGCTGTTCTTCAGCACAGTGTAACACCTTCAAGACCACACGTCACAGCACAAAAAAACTACTGAGCGCCATTTTTACTTTAGATATGAAAGCCAAGGTACAAACCAGACTGTAAAATTTGTAAGGCTGCAGGTAAAAGAAGCTAGACTTGCATATACTGCCCAGATTGCAATACATCTCTTTGCTTGATACCCCTGTACAAGCTATACCATATGGTTGAGGATTATCAGCATTCCTTATAAAGACAGAGGGCTACTGCTACAGCTTCAACTCCAGTTAATGAAGGAAGTAGCTCAGACTTTAACAAGAGGTGCTTTTATAATCCAGCATTCACAAATACTCACTATGACATAGCAATAAATAAGGGGGAAACATTTACTTTATTCACATTTTTATTCGCTTTTCATGTTGAAATATTTGGTAAATTGTTACAAATTTGCTCTTATTTAGCTAATCTTATTCATCATCAACCATGTCCCCAACAATTTATTGCACTGATATTGAAAAAATTCACTAAGAACTAGAAAAAGATGTTGGTTTCAGAAAATCTGAAATTTATATAAATAGCCAAACAAATTCAAAATGGCCACCATGATTATGTGACATATTTTCATAATAAATCTTTTTTCATGCGTAGCAACCATCCACAATGATGTTCTGAAGGTTTCAAAACCCTAGGTTTGTTTTTGAATATTTTATGAATTTTATAAGAAAACCAGTCTTGGGGGGGGGGGGGGGGGGGGGGAGAGAATATCCAAACACCTTTGGTAATGGGAGACAGTAATGCCCCGGATCGCTGGTCAGGAAAGTGTTAAGTACTTTGCTTGCTTGAATGGGGTTTCTATGACTGGTTTTTTTCTGCTCTTGCAATGGTCATAACTTCTATCATTTTTAATATTAATTATGCTTAGATTAAATGTTGACTGCACACAAAAACAAAAGATGCTACAAATCCTAACTGAAGCTCTGATCAACAAACTAACCTTACAGATGACAACCTTCAGCTGAGCATGCTTCTGAACGGCTCCATTCTTGTAGGGGTTCAGCTGACGGCCACAAGCCGAGCAGGACACACTGTTCAGTACCGCAGTGTCAATCCGTGCTGGGGCTTCAAAAGAGTTATCAACAATGTTACCATAAAGTAATCAACCCTCTCTCAAACACAATTCAACAAATCCATATAACCCTCTCTCAAAGACAATTCAACAAATCCATATAACCCTCTCTCAAAGACAATTCAACAAATCCATATAACCCTCTCTCAAAGACAATTCAACAAATCCATATAACCCTCTCTCAAAGACAATTCAACAAATCCATATAACCCTCTCTCAAAGACAATTCAACAAATCCATATAACCCTCTCTCAAAGACAATTCAACAAATCCATATAACCCTCTCTCAAAGACAATTCAACAAATCCATATAACCCTCTCTCAAAGACAATTCAACAAATCCATATAACCCTCTCTCAAAGACAATTCAACAAATCCATATAACCCTCTCTCAAAGACAATTCAACAAATCCATATAACCGTCTCTCAAACACAATTCAACAAATCCATATAACCCTCTCTCAAAGACAATTCAACAAATCCATATAACCCTCTCTCAAAGACAATTCAACAAATCCATATAACCCTCTCTCAAAGACAATTCAACAAATCCATATAACCCTCTCTCAAAGACAATTCAACAAATCCATATAACCCTCTCTCAAAGACAATTCAACAAATCCATATAACCCTCTCTCAAAGACAATTCAACAAATCCATATAACCCTCTCTCAAAGAAAATTCAACAAATCCATATAACCGTCTCTCAAACACAATTCAACAAATCCATATAACCGTCTCTCAAACACAATTCAACAAATCCATATAACCCTCTCTCAAACACAATTCAACAAATCCATATAACCCTCTCTCAAACACAATTCAACAAATCCATAATCTCAATGTTTTGTTGGTGAGTAAACAAAAGTAAAGGAACCATTCCACGCTGGTGGCACAGCTGGCATATGATGCTAGATTCCAGTCGCGACCCGGTGGGTGATGTGGTCAACATCACAACACAACGGCCGCCTTGACTTCCCAGGACTCCACCTGGTATCAATTTTCGGCTGGGCCAAATTGGGATCCAGGATCTTTTATTTAGAACTCCAGCTCAATGCAAACCTGAACCCTGATATATTCGGGCTAGCAGGCTATGGTTATTTTGGTTGCTGGAGTACAAAAGTGTACTAACCAAGCACTAGTATCAACAGTTATGAGACAGAGAAGAAGGCGCTATACTGGACACATTCTGAGAAGAGACAAACAGAGCATCACTGAACAAGCATTGAAATGGGAAATGAAGGAAGTGAGGACATCCCAATGTACATGAGAAACCTTAAAGAGAACACATGAAGGAAGCCAAAGGTACTGGACTGGATTCCATCCATGATATCTAAGTGATTGCACAGGGTTGAGCGGAATGGAGAAATAGATTGTGAGCCCTATGTGATGTATAACGGCACAACAGGACAATGAACAAATCAAAACCTAGCGTTAAAAAAATCTATGTTGGTTGGGGGAGTATAGTCTAATACTATAGTGCACTACCTAGCAACAGAGCAGTTTGGGTTTCAACCTCTAAAACTGGTAGGATGTGATCTCTTTTTAAAAGAGGAAATTGTTAAACAGCAGAATTAATACAATTATCTTCACATACTCTTAACATCTAGTTCAAAGTGTCTTGAAGTACCACGGCAAAAAACCGCCTGTGCAACATGAGAAATTTAACAAAAACATGCCAGCTGCAGTAAGACAAAAACTGTTAAATCTGCTGCTCAGAATCTTCTTCTTTTTCTTCATGTTCACCAGCTTCAAACTCTGGCAGAAAGTTCTGCACTATAGACTTGCTCCAGAACCTAAGTGTTGCATGCACATCCATCTCACTCATCTAGCTTATTTGTATACAGACTCTTGATTCCTTGCCTATCAGGCAGATGTTCTCCTATGACATGCTTGTTGGGGAGTCAGTGGGTCTATTCTTGCCCCCCCCCCCCCCCCCCCCCCCCACAATGGGGCCTCAGAACCCACATGGGGAAAGAATCTTTACAACCTTTATTGTTGAGCATGGACATTAAAAAAAACTGAGAAATATCTAATGGCAGTGGAAATGCCATTTCTGAAGGAAAATGAACAGCATATGGATGCAGAGAAAAACAAAACAAGGCAGTCCAACAGTCTGTATACAAATAAGTCAGATCTGTGAAACGGATGTGCACACGACACTCAGGTTCTAGAACAAGTCTAAAGTCCAGAGGTGGATGAACAACCAGAACTTTGTGCCGGATTTCACAGCCGGTGAACACCAAGAAGACAAGAAGATTTAGATCTTCAAATGAAGGCAGAGAAAATATAGACTTGCCTTGCCAGATGACATTTACATCCCTCCACACATCTCAGTTGACAAATTTTGGATAAATTCTACTGACGCCCTCTGTGACATCCACTTAAAACAACCAGTCTCGTTTCTCTCAACCTACCTTTCCAAGTGGATACTATTGTTCTCATAAATCATAAGCCTCTCTTCTCATCTCATGACCAAAGAACATTACCTTTCTTATGAAAGCAATAATAAAGGAAAAATAATTATTTATATAACAGAAAGCAAACCTACGTTTTTTCTTCCCATGAGTGTCCTCAGCAGCTTCCGGATGGCCCACCGATGTACCTATGAACAGAATCAGAACTTTCTATTTTGTGCATGCCAAAACACTGGTGTCACCCAAGCCTTTAAACATTATCTAAGAATTGCAACAATGAATGTATGTAGCTTAGTACAACAAAGCCTAGGTAGAATATGATACCACATACTCTAGTTTGAGAGTGGGGGCGGAGGCTGTCACAGAAGCTTCTGGCTGGCTATCACTTCATTTGATAGTAACAGACCCACAGAGCACACTCTAAATAGAGTGGCAAGCACTGCTACTTCTAGACAATCCCCAGCTGTTGGCATCCTTTGGAAATGTTCACCAGGGTGTTGGTAAAATGAACAGGCACACAGATTGCTGGTGCAGCACCAGTTTGTGGTGATTTGTTGTATGACAAACTAGATAGTCAAGGTACTTTGGAAGTAGGTGAAAAATGTAGAAGCATGAACATATCAATGCAGTGTGGATAGAATGTGTAGCCGGCAGTGTTCAGGGGATTTGGCCGATACTCTATGCTCAGATATGGGGCAAGATGGACATATAATCAAACTGTTACTAGTACTAACTGCATTGGAACTCTTTGCTGGCTGCTGAAGATGGAGACAGAGCATGTAAGGTAATGTCCTGAGTGTTGTGATGTCGCTTCTTAACTCAATGTAAACACAGTTTTTAACTATATGTTAACATTTGTATGAGGTCAAGGATAAACTGACTGCACAAATATCTCACAAAGAGAATCTCAGAACAGTGCACAAACTTCAGCATTCCAAGCTCTTGAGGTTTACTGCTGCAGATATCCACCGCTTCTATTCAACTCTGTGACTGGCCTTCTATTTCCAGTTGGTGACGCTTGAGTGTTTGTAGGCCTGCCTTGATATTATGTCTCCGCCATCCTCTTGCTCTGCTTTGTCATCAAGAGCCATGCTTTCACTGACAGTTTTTGCCTCTCTATCATCTGCCATTTTCTTTATATATCCCAGCCTTTTCAGTCTATTAACACTCATGATGCCAGTGGTCAATGGTGATTTACACAGATCATAAATTTCGCTGCTGCTTCTAACTATCCACTCCCCCATATTAACCTAAACCCTGATCATCTAAATGATGTATTTCTCTAAAAAGCATTCTTTTTTTGTTCTGTGCTCACCCTTGAGAGGGCAGCTAGGATGCGATACTTGTGATTATTAAAAAGTAAGAGACCGATGTTACAAAATATTTGTTTGTTAACAGTGTCCAGTGTGAGTCAGGAACAAAGGCAAACTATTGAACGTAAAATTACTTAATAAAACCACACACACAAAATTCTAGGGTTTATTTGCAACATCCTGTTGTGTCATTATATGTCATATAGGGCTCGCAGTATGGTCCTCATGCCATCTATCCTGCAATATCATTTCCATATGAAATCTAGTCCATCATCTTTGGCCTCTCTCAACAAGAGAGCAGGCAACCATACCAATAATTCAGTTTTCTAAGAAAGTTTTCATTATAAGTTCTTAGCGTTCACCAGATGTAAACTCCAGTTTTCGGCCAACCTCTGGCCTTGGTCTTGTTCCAGAACTTGAGTTTGTATGTACAAGCGTTTTACAGATCTGGCTTATTATTATGCAGACTGTTGGTTCCTAACCTCTTAAAGACCCCTAATTAATCAATTTTTACCACATGCTTGTGGGTGGGAAAAGTGGGCAGTGGGTCTATTCCCCCCTCCCCAAAAAGGGGCCCCGAAACCTACATAGGAAATCATGAGTTTAGTAACGTGACTTTTTAAACACACCCTACAAATAACAGAATGGGTCAATGCATTCAATCAAACGACAAAACATACTAACCTTCTGACAGATTATCAGAAACTCCATTGCCAAACACTACTGGCAAATTCTCATCATCATCATCATTCCCACTGCCATCATCACCAATTTCTTCTACATCACTGTCATTGTGGGCTTTTGAAGCCTTCTCTTTGAACTGAATGCGAAGCTTACTAGAAACTTCAGATTTCCTGTAGAATAAATCCAGATGCATCAATAATACAATGTTGTGACACAAACTGCTGTTGGTAGCTAAACCGGAAAAACATTAAACCCATTACTAATAAACTACAAACATTTGTTAACTGGATCCCAAAGCGTCAACTGCCACTGAGAAGAAAAAATAAAAATAAACTGGTGCCTGCACAGCAATCAGTACAATATAATTAGTAATGTGAAGCTTTGGGACAGAATTAAATCTCAGTAAATTAGGAGGCGAGGAAAGGCGCTGGCACTGTATAGGACCTACAGTGAGAAAATAACTAAAATGACCTTAAACTGGAACCCACATCAGAACAAAGGCAGCCAATATTTCTGGCCACATCATGAGCAGATGGATGGCAGGTTGTGCAACTCTGGGTAGTGAAGTAATGCATGACTCAGTCATGGCCCTGAGAGCACATGAAAAACATGTATAGAAAAAATGATAGTGTTATAATGATGCCAGAGGTAGTGACCAGAGGATCTGCTGAAGTTCACTGTAGGGCAAGACAAATTTACAATCAGACTGCAAATAGTCTCAATAATATTGGACTGCGTTGGCTCCTACAGATGGGGACGGTGGACTTATGGGAATAACTAAAGTATTGCTATGTTAGCTTTTAACTCAATTCAACTCAAACACAAGCATACACGAAAACAAAAAGAACATACAGTGAGAAATAGAAAGATATATGAAAAAGCACAAAGAAGAAAAGTAAGAGAAGAACTAGGCAGAAAGAGAATAAACAGACAGCAAGAAAATGTGCACAAAAAAACTCAAGTTTTGGAACAAGACCTAAGTTCAGTATGTGAGAAACAGGCTTACTCCCACCAGTTGGTAAGGAACTTAAAATGCTGAAAACAGCAGCTTCTAGAAAAGAAGCCACCAAAACACCCAAAAAGTCGTAGAGCTTTCAAAAAACTGAGAAGCCAAATTTTAAAATAACCTTTTCATTATAATGACGAATAAACAAAAGTAGACAAATATTACCTGCGTGAAGGTCCACTCCTGAACAAGGACTGCAAACAGAAAAAATAAAAACAATTATACACAGATAATATATCTGCCAAATTTGTTATAAAACACAGGAAAATCAACCCCACCCAATAAACCGGTGTCATGCTAAAAAGTGTAGAAACCACGGTTTGTCATCCTGCCTGATCACACCTGGACTGATAAGTGTAGAAAGCTGCATATATCGCAGTCCAACTGTGAATAATATCATTATGTGCCAACTGCTCTTCTAAGAGTGAACACACAAGAAGATTATGTACTAAAATAGAAAATATACAATGATATGTAGAATATATTAATTTACAATTGTGTGGGTTTTTTTTTTTTTTGGGCTACAAGACACGATCAGTGCAAGCAAGCCCTATTTTTTACCACATTCAGCACTCGATGGGTAGTGAGTTCAACAACACCTTTATTTCCAAGGTTATCTTCTGATTCTCATTTTAGGCTAGGCCAAAACTGACAGCCTATGTCGATAATTCAAAAAATCCAACTCCAAGCTAATTTGAATCCAAGACCTTTGACCCGGAAAGCAAGCATTTAGCCACTGTGCCAACGCAGCTCCCAAAACAATGCAACATTGAATACATAGGATGGGGGCCTTACCAGGTCTAAAACAGGCTATCGCACTAGTCCTCCTCCTTACTGTTATAAAACCTTTACAGTTGTCACAACATGCTCCAATTTGTTTCTCTTCTCACTGAATTTTAAATTTCTGTGCCGTCTCTTCTTCTCGTGGACCCAAACAATACTGGCTGCCTCACTGATGCTTGTAATAAGCTGACCTTGTGCCGCAGGCTGTCAAAACATCTACACTGCTCAAATAATGTATACAGCAGTATTTTATAACTAGACTTTGCTGGGAGAGACGATGAATGCAGGCAGCAAGAAAAGTACATAATAAACAGTGTCAGTCAAGCACACCAGTAGAACAATGAATGCAATTCCCTGCATTGGTTCCAGGGGCTACACCTTAGGGGAAAAAAGAATAGACCTACTGCTCCCTAACAAACATACTGTGAGGTGCAACAAAATTGAGATGTTTCCTTTGAAGTTGAAATGCACCTGCCTAAGAGGGGAGAAACCAACAGTCTGTATACAAATAAGCCATATCTATCAAACAGATGTGCACTCAACACTTAGGTCCTGGAACAAAACCAAAGTCCAGAAGTGGATGAGCAATCAGAACTTTCCACCAAAGTTTATAGGTGGTGAACTATCAAAAGACAAATGTGCAATGAATATTTATGTGAAATGTTAAAAAGGACTTAAATGTTGTGCCTATGCAGGGGTTAGTAAATATGAGGTGCCTGTCTGCCTTGGTGCCTGATAGTGTTCACCGGGCACCTGAAATGTTTACATTTATCTTAGTTTGAAACATGGTTTGAAAAATTACTGGCTTCTGAATTATTCTTAGTTCATCCTGGTGCCCATCTCTTTGTCAGAGCGACAGAACATCAAACCAAGAGAATAGCAGGAGAAGTTTAAAAAAAAAAGATAGTTCAGAAAAGAGAGAGCTTCTTCTTCTTCACTTCCTCTTTTACCGCTGTGGGTGTCGAGGGAGATATAAGGTTCTGTTTCTAGCTCTTCTGGCTGCCTCGACCATAGGCACATCATGCTGTTGTAGAGTTTCTCTGATGTTATCCTTCCATCTTGTTCTTGGTCTACCCCGTGCTCTTCGTCCTTCTTCTCTTTCCATGTATGCTTTGTATGGTATGGTGTCACAAGGCATTCTCTCTAAGTGGGCAAACCATTTCACTTGCTGTCTTTGTATGTAATCCAGAATTGGTTCTGTGCCAACTTGTTCTCTTATGATCTCATTCCTGATCTTATCTCTTATGGTCACTCCTACAGCCCTTCTCAGACATCTCATTTCCGTGGTTACTAATTTTCTTTTATGGTTTGTTGTGAGTGACCATGTCTGGCACTGGTAGCACAGAGTTGGAATAAATATGCTTTGAATAAGATGTCTCTTTGTGCTGATTGGGATTGTCTTATGCTGTAAGAGGGGGGCTAGCTGTCCCAATACTTGGTTTGCTTTACTGCATCTAATGTTAATTTCTTTATCCAATTTCCCATCTTCGGTAAATGTAGTTCCCAGATATTTAAACTCAGATGCCTGTTTAATGCCTTTGTATTCTATTGCTATGTTTAGATCTGTCTTCTTTTTTCCTATTGACATTACTTCTGTCTTTTCAGTGTTGATTCTCATGTTATTTGTTTTACATTCTTCATTCATGGATGTTAAATGTTGCAATTTCATGGCTGTATCTGCTATCTGATAGCAGAAAGAGAGAGCAAAATCTCTAAAATGATGTGATCCGAATCTCATGCCCATACTGTGCACAAACTTTTCATGTCAGGATTCAGGTCTTATCGGCCATCCGCTCACTCAACAGCTTTCCTCTTCCTAGCCGATGAAAGAACTGGTCATCATCACTTGTGATGGACAACATTTATTTAATACTAACTGCACACAAACTTACCGCCATTAATAAGTTTCCAGTAACAGTAATGCTCTTTCTTTACCTAAAAAAAAAAAGGAAAGAAAGCCAAAGTTCAAGATTACTGCTACTAATATGTTTTCACAAAGTATACAAGTCATCAAATTAAACAAGCACCCTAACTGTGTGGGTTCTAGGGCCCCATGTGGAGGGAAGGGGAGGGGGACAGGCACACTGTTCTTAATAAGCATGACATAAAGACCATTAATTAGTAGTTGCTCAAATCTGATGTGTTGGGCTGAAAGGTGCAGATATCTCAGCCTAGCTGTCAACCACAACACAACATGCCAACAGACCTTTCAAAGGCAACAGAAAAAGAAGATAAAGGAACAAGTACCAAATTAATCAATCAATCAATAACAATAGTCACTACAGGCAGGACAATTTAAAGAACATGCAGTGTTTGGTTCAGGCACGTCCAGCTGTATCTTTCAGTCCTGCCAACTGAACCACGGTACATTTTCGGGGAGTCCCCCTCAAAAATAGGTTACTGGCATCGTTTCCATGTTGCATTGTGTGACATCTTAATATGTTTACAAAGTCCTGTGTTCTAAACGTATTCGTATTACAAATCTACAAGCGGATATTGTAAAGTGGATATACAGCAATTTTAATTTTGATTTTAATTCACGGAAGACAGTCGTGTTGTGATGTGTGTGTCACTGTTTCTAGTCAGTAGTTCGGATTTTTGGGAACTGGCTGTTTATTACTTTTCTACTTTAAATGTAGAAATCCTACTTTTAGGGATAAAACAAACACGTAATTTAGAAGCCATATCTGGAGAATATCTAGTTGTCAGGTGCAAACTATCTTGTGTTGGAAGAAAACTTGCTTTCATACTGACTGTGCATAAATTGTGCAACCAGACTGTGGATAAATTGTGTCAAGATATTTCGCTCTAGGTAAGTGGATGAAAACAATATTTAATTTACTAACTAACCTCTCACAGCAAGTCACTCTTTGCCTCTTTACTAATTGCTGACTAACAGTATAATTATATCTTCTTGTAGCAGTACACTAATAATATTAATCCTTAACCACTTGACTTATGCTTCGCGAACACTGGCTGTAAACTCTTGCAGAAACTTCTGGTAGTTAATCGACTTCTTTTGCATATTTGCAGTTCTACAGTCTGTGTTAATTTTTTTAAACTGGCTTTTGCTTTGCGAACACTGGCTATAAACTCTTGCTGAAACTTCTGGTTGCTCATTGACTTCTTTTGCATATTTGTAGTTGTACGGCCTGTTAATTTTTGTAAACTGGCTTTTGCTTTGCGAACACTGGCTGTAAACTCTTGCGGAAACTTATGGTAGTTAATCGACTTCTTTTGCATGTTTGCAGTTGTACGGTCTGTTATTTTTTTGTAAACTGGCTTTTGCTTTGCTTCGTGAACACTGGCTGTAAACTCTTGCGGAAACTTCTGGTTGTTCATCCACTTCCTATGCATATTTGTTACCAAAAAATTCGCAATGGTAAGGAATTGATTTCATCCAACAAGATGAAACTGGACAAATTTGTTTGTGCTGTTTGTACCTTGAGGATACATATTTAGTAGTGCTATAAGTACTGTTAAGAAAACTACTCTGGGTGAAAAAAGTATTGCACATATCAATTTCATACTGATTGTGCTTGTTTACTAATTATTAAATAACAGTATAATTATATGTTGTAGTAGTCTACTAATAATAATAATAATAACCATGAATTATTTATATATATATGTTATGTATGATATGTGTGTGTTTCATATCAGTATTTTTATGCGCTAAATTTGATAAAGTACAAATGTCACCCCTCCTCTCTCCTTCCCCCCCCCCTCTCTGATGCAACAATACCCTCTCAGAATCAAAGAGTAAGCACTGATATTTCTTTACGTTTGCTGGAACAACTTTTAGTTTACATCTAAACGTTATTGATGTTTATGTTCATGTTAACTGTAGCAAAAGCATTTTTGTTTGTCTGTAAGAGCCTTTATTGTTATATTTATTCAGCACACTTATTTACCTTAAAAATGACGTATATTTCTCAAAGATGTTGAAAATTAATGAAACTAGTTTAATTTGTGTATACATCTCCTCGATAAAAAATGTCAACACAGAAGGACTCAATTCTTGCACAAGAACGGGAATCCCATTTTTGTTTGTCTGTAAGAGCCTTTATTGTTATATTTATTCAGCACACTTATTTACCTTAAAAATGACGTATAGTTCTCAAAAATATGTCAAAAATTAATGAAACTGTAGTTTAATTTGTGTATACATCTCCTCGATAAAAACTGTTAACACAGAAGGACTCAATTCTTGCACAAGAACGGCAATCCCCGTTGACCCATTTATATCTAAAGATGGCCGTGGTTCAGGAAGGACATTGGTAATTATTCTTAAATCCTGTGTCATCTGACATTTCAAGGAAGTTTATATTAACTGATTCTCAACTGTTCAAGAAGCCTAACAAATTCATTTACTTTTGCTTTGTTTGACTAGTGACTAGTGGTGTCCAGAATTCTCTTTTCTGCATCTCAACAAGCCATTTAAATTTCAGAAGCCTGTTTTTTAATCTAGTGACAACTTGATGCCTTAGCCTGTTATTTCTGTCTAACAAGTATTCTCAAAATTCTTCTAACAGAAATACAATTTAAAAAGCTCATTTCCACTGACCCGAATGTTACCATCATGACATTAAAAAACAGGTTTTTAGCTGCTGGTCCTTTACAAGATGTCGCAGAACCCCAGGATTTGTGGGCTGTTTGTAATGTTACTAGGCAATTTTACGTTCAGTAGTTTGCCATTGCTTGCTGAACAGTAAGCCCTTGATACCACTGTTTAAAATAACACAAGGTGGTCTGCTGACAAGTCGCCTGCAGCTGGGATTGAACCCGGCATGTGACATTATGCAGCATGTTCACAACACCTAAGCCACAGAGACAACCAGTGATGTCTTTGGCAATAGGTGGTAAGTTAAGCAATCTCTTCAACAACTGGGCTGACTCTCATACTAGTCTGAAAGCCATGAGAAAACCTATCAGAATCTCAGTTTTCATAGAATGTACTTAGCTTAGCCTTGTTTGTTGTTGCCTGTCTGTTTCAGAGACCTCTAAATAAAAAATTTACTAGTTTAGTTTCCCCTTGCTTTTCATATCCACCTAGCATTAGGACCATTTCTAGCCATCTGATAAATTTAAATTACTAATACTAAGAATAGTAAGATGGGTAAAGTAAAAATTAGACTACTGCATTGGTTATTCTAGCTAACACTAACAGGCTAACTGGGTGGAGGGGAGAGGGGAGCAAGATGTGCCCCCCTTGGACCAGAGAATTACTACTATCTTTATCTATCACTAATAACTAAACTATTATCACTAATTAATTAAGTCATATATGATATATTATATGCCTGATCCCCAAGTGACACGCTTAGTTTAGTCTCTTCTGTGTTAACTGTGTATAGTATTACTAGGGATTTTAGTCAAAATGTAAAAATTAGGTTTTTTACTTTTAAACCAAGACAGCTGAATAGAGGTTGAAAACCCGAGTCCAACGATACCTCAATGAAGTCTGTATGTCAATTCTAAGCGGAGATATTCACATTTCAGTGACGGAAAGTTGCCCCAAAAATTTATAATGGAAAACACAGAAACAAGATGGCGGCGTGTTCCCAAGTGAAAACTGGACCTAAATTTATCATGTTTAATGTCAATAACTCTCAAGTTTTTTGCTGAACCCCTTAGCAACCATATGTCATTGCTTTCAGGACAGCAGGCTCTGACTAAAGTTGTTGCCTTTAAAAAAAAATGATGTGATGCAAACCTAAATAACATAAAAATGAGTTTGTTTATCAGGATTGATAACCTTATTTATGAATTAAATTAATGATTATTATCCAGTGAGTCTTCCAAGACATATATTGTAATATGCATACTTTTGTAACTATTCTTCTTGTTATGATGCATCTCTTCCTATTTGTTTAAAAATGCTTTTTCTTTCACTCTCAATTGTGTGTGTGTGTGTAGTGTGTATACATCTGACCGAAATTTGCTCTACTCCACTGTTAAAAAATGTTCAATAGCGAGTGGATTGACTTCACTGCATCGTTACTGGTTTCATATGGCTTGGTCTTTCTCCACATAACCATGAATGACTAGCCGCATGCCGAGACCTTAGCAGTAAGCCTGAATACCGTAGCTCCAGCAACAGCCTCCAGGGGTCCCTGTTAACCCAAACAAAAAATGTATTTTTGAGACGAACAAAGCAGTTGTAAAATAAACTCACCGCAACCTTCCGAGCACGAGGTTAATGGCTTGACCACTTTTCTACAGAGACCCCCAATATTGTTTGATAACCAAGTGAAAATATGCACCCTTTTTACTGATTTAACATAATCCCTTCTTCAGTCTTTGCGAGTTATTCTTTAATTTTATTGATGATGAGCGCATTTTACCACAGTGTTTCCCTCTTCTTCTTAACTAACACTGCTGGATATTTTATTTACTAGCTCAAAATAATCTAAGGTAACTGCTCATACCTGATTTGTGATTCAGTGCTATGTTTTCATGGAGTAAAATTATTTAATAAGCTCCTTTGTGATTCGCTTTGGATTTATGTTGTGTTTTCATGGAGCAGCATTTCATAAGGTAAGAGGAAAAAGAACATTATATATATTTTATTAACGTATCTATGTCCCATGTGATCTGTTTGCTAGCTAGTATATATTAGTATATTTAGAAAATAATTATTAAATATTAATAATCATAAGTTGTAACTAGCCTTGGCTGTAAGTAAGTAAACGTATGCACAGTTAAACAAATTATAATTTATTATTAATTTTATTAATCGTCAACTTTCTAAATAAGCATCTATAAAAGTCAATACTAATACTATAATTTTAAAACTAATAATATTCATGCCAAATGATAGATTATGGCTTAAAAAATGCTATAATGGCTAAAGATTCGAAAAATGATTAAATAACTACTTTATGTTCATTTAAAA